CATTGCCCGCAAGAACCCGGACTCGTTTCCGCCCAATACGTATCTCGAGTATGTCAACACTGCGGGCTTTCAGCAATCCATTGGCTCCGTCGTCAACTTCACGATGACGAGTCAGGCTGTCATGTCCGCCTTTTCTGGCACGGGCGACTACATGAGAGGACCCTTGATCCCGAAATTGGCCGGTCTCTTGCAGCGCGGTATCCGCGTCGCTCTGATCTACGGTGATCGTGACTACATCTGCAACTGGCTGGGTGGGGAGGCCGCGTCGACGACTCTCGCTTGGCAAGCTAGCACCGTATACGGACGCAACTTCAGCGCCGCCGGTTATGCGCCTATCATTGTCAACAACTCGTACATCGGCGGCGTCGTGAGGCAGTTTGGAAACCTATCCTTCAGCCGCATCTACCAGGCCGGCCACTCGGTGCCAGCCTACCAGCCGGAAACCGCGTTCCAAGTCTTTGCGCGTGTCATCATGGGCACGTCCATCTCGACGGGCGATCAGGTCAATCTGGCCAACTACAATACCTCTGGCGATGCCCACGCCACGCACACAGATAAGCTCCCAGACTCGCCTGCTGCCACCTGCTGGCTGCGCTACATGCAAGCCTCATGCAGCGACGAGCAGATCAGCATGCTCCAGCGCGCCGAGGGGACAGTCATCAACGGCGTACTTTACAGTGCTTCAAGTGACTGGCCTTTGGCCACCAAGGCTCCGACTTCTACGCAGCCTGCCGCATCCACATCATCTACGGTCCTTACGGGATTGTTCACGGCGACGTCGACGCCAACGAGCGGGAGCTTGACGGTCCAGGCACCAATGATGCCTATTGTGGCATTTTTTGCACTTTCGATTAGCATGTTTATGTTTGGTGCGATGGGAAGTGGTTGATTAAAAAGTCATCATAAAGCTTTGGAGCATCGTCTACGTGGCAAAACATTATACTTGCATCCTCGGTTGGGCACTAGAGAGCATGTGGACGGCCTCGAGAATCATCTTGGGGTGGGCGTTTCTGGGCATTTTGGATGTGAAGGATGAAAACATGGAAGGGACCGAAGAAAAGGAGAGAAGCACTGCAGACATGTGCTGGATGTGTTTTTGATTTGTGTTGGTTGAAGACTTAATGATACCCCCTTAATGATCGTTGGAATACAAAGCAGTAAACATGCGTCTTGGCAATGATGATGAGGTATGCTTACGCGTGTCTTGACTATGCAGGCATGCGAGGAGAGAATACTAATTGTTACGTATGGACATAAGTCACGGACGCAGAAATCTGTCCCATAAACGACTCTACGGAAGTTCTTCCGGCCAGGAGGATATCCTGGCATCGTGACCGTGAAGCACCAATGATCAACACGACAAACCTCGTGCGGTTCCAAGATTGGAAAGGATAGTGAAATCGATAGGCAAATCACATTGTAGCAGTAGAGCACAGACGGAGTGAAGAATCATGGGTATCTTGTATTGAGAATATGTATACTAAAACATGCACGGCATAGACCTACCTTGGCTTGCATCATTGATGAAGATATAGTCATGAGAGAATCTGATAACTTCAGTTAGCCACTGTCTGCAATACACCACGACTCGTAAATCAAACAATGTGTGAAGCGTCAAAAATCAGTATGGGGCCTTGTCAAAGGCAGTATCATCAAAGCATATGGCTCAGGAGACCGTCGTGATATATATTATGATCATCACGTAGACGCGGGAGAGTGGGTAGAGGTAGAGGACGAGAGATGGAAAAGGAGCTTACCATTTGATGCAAGGCCGTCGGCAGGGAAAAGGCGAAAGAGGATGTACACCACATGGCTCTAGAAGGCGAATGTTAGCCAACTGTATTCACAAGTGTTTCCCAGAAAGAGTGCAAATGTGAAGTGTTCGATCAGAATGACTGGTAGTCAACGTGTCTCAGCTTCGCCGTTAGGCTCTGACATATGCTTGTCTTTGGTTTATCGTTCATCAGAAGAACGGAGCCGTGGGTGGCTGGAGGGGTGAAGAGACAGGTAGGAGCTTACCACTTGAGCCATGCGATGGTGCGTTTTCGTACAACAGGTCTAGCCATGTCAGAGTAAAACTGTCATCTTAGAGACGGTCAGCGATGTTCATGCTCATCAAGTCAAAACGTAGTGTAATGAAGCCAATTCAGTCGTTGCATGAATGGTATAAAAAGTTTGTATCCGCATTGGAAAATCCAAATCAGACTCGTCATCTAAGTTGCTCATCAGGAAGGCATGTGGGGCAGCAAAGAAAAATGTGAGACCTACCATGACTGGACCGGAAGGAAGCAGGTGCGTCTATACTGCACTGGCAGAAGACACCAAAAGATTGTGTAGCAAAGCGAAATCCATCTCGACACTGTTGTAGACGGGTCAGCCACCTGAAGAGCAAGGTGTATTCCCGACAAGTTGAGTGTTCGGATCGAAATCAGTGGGCGAGGTTTTCTAGGCCTGCCGCAAAGTGGCTTGTCTGCTCATGGCCGAGTCCCATATGGGTACTCTCGGAGCCCAGTGCCGCTTCATCATGTAAATGATGGGAGAGCGGGAAAGAGAGGGGTTCGTATGTACCTTGTCGATTTGATCTGAGATGGCTGGGTTCCATGTTAGCGACGAGGTTCGACGCGAACGAAGGCATACATGGAAAGAAGGGTAGTGAGATCAATCAGAAACAGCCAGTTGTTTTCAACAAGAGTGTTCAGCCGGTAATTCCAACTGTGCAAAGCACAAAAAAACTAATCATCCGGATCTCGAGCGTGGAGGTTGAGGAAGAAGTGTACCGTACCTTTTGTCAAGCCATCCCGAGGCAGCCACGTAGCTCAATTCCACGGCGTCAGATTGAAATAAATCTGCAAAAGCCTAATTTGCTTGATTAGCCACTTGCTCAAGCGAAGCGCATAAGATCCAAAAACAAATTTGCGACATTGTCGTGTCCTATCAGACTGACGTGTAAAACAGAGGTTTCATTCCATTTAGGTCAAAGACTCTAGTTTGCGGTGTTTGTCTGTCATCACCAAGGATTGGGGGTGTAATTCAAAGGTAAAAGTAAGAAATAAGCGCGAGCGCGGAACTTACCAGGTCATGCGAAGCTACGCAGCCGATTTGCTGCGTGTTGCAGTATGGAAAGAAAGGATCGTGAGGTCGAGGTGGTCTGCGAGGGAAGAGTTTTAAAGGTGCTGGGAAATTTTGAGCCGCGAGTGGGGGTGCGCAGCTGGCGGTCGGCCACGACCCACTCGAGGTGTGCCTGCAGTCTCTTCACGTGCTGGGTCACGTGTTAGCGCGAACCGTCGGCGCGGATGGCCGGTCCCCAGTTCAGAGCTCGACGCGTCGCAGCCTGCGTCTGCGTCATGGATCCGCAGTGCGCAAGTCGTCGCAGACCCCGGGAGACGAGAGACGTTCATCCGTGATCTCCTTCCTTTAAGCAAGTGAGACAGACAATAAATCAGTACAAAAATGCCCGAGATCGCTGAAGGTGAGACTGTCATTGAATTGAGAAATGCAAGTTGGCTCATGTTCTCCCAGTCGCGCGGTGCGTGCACTTCTTGCGCCTTCATCTTGTAGGCAAGAAGATCGCAAACGTCTCTGCCCCTGACGATGCCAATGTCTTTGGCAAAGTCGGCACCAGCGGCCCGGCCTTCGAGAAAGCTGTAAAGGGGAGAAAGGTTGTCTCTGTCGGAAGTCAAGGAAAGTATTTCTGGTATGTCTACTCCATCGATCAATTGGAAGCTCTTGACAGACACTCATTTCGTCTCAGGATCACATTCGACAAACCCCCTCATGCGGTGATGCATCTAGGCATGACAGGTAATGAAATTTATTCATTTCAGGTACACTGTATCGAGACTGACACCACGCAGGATGGATCCACATCAAAGGCGACAAGACGGCTTACACAAACTACTACAAAAAGATGAAGGAAGGCGAAGCAGACATCTGGCCACCCAAATACTGGAAATTCCACATCGAGACCGAAGGCACACCCAAAGTCTCGGCCGCCTTCACAGACCCCCGCCGCTTCGGCCGCATCCGCCTCGTGGACTGCCCCGGCGCAGACATCCGCTCCCACTCGCCCCTCAAAGAAAACGGGCCCGACCCGGTCGTCGACGTCGACATCTTCACGGAGACTTACCTCCGCCAAAAGATGCAGTCCCGCCACGTACCCATCAAGGCCCTCCTCCTGGACCAGAGCCACATCAGCGGCATAGGCAACTGGGTCGCCGACGAGGTGCTGTACCAGTCCCGGCTGCACCCGGAGCAGTACTGCGATACCTTTAACGAAGAGGAAATGACGAGGTTGTACGAGGCCGTACGGTATGTCTGTCAGACGGCCGTCGATAAGCTCGGCGACTCGGACGAGTTCCCGGACGATTGGTTGTTTAATTATCGCTGGGGCAAGGGGAGTAAAGGTGCCGCGTCTGAGCTTCCCAACGGGGAGAAGCTTGCGTTCATTACCGTCGGCGGGCGGACAAGCTGTTATGCCCCTGGGAGGCAGAAGAAGACTGGTCAGGTTGTGCCGTCGGCAAAGGAGGAGCCCGTGGAGGAGGAGGATGACGGCGGCAAGAAGCCCAAGGCCGCCGCTAAGAAGAAGAGGCCGGCGAAGGCGAACGAGAGCGATGAGGAGGAGGAGGAGAAGCCCAGCAAGAAAGCACGAGGTGCCAAGGGTTCCGCCAAGGCAAAGCCCACCGCGGCGGCAAAGGTGAAGAAGGAGGAGACTCCAGAGCCCGCCGCCGAAGCACCGGCACCAAGCAAGAAGCAGCGGGCTTCAAAACAGGCTGCGGAGAAGCCTAAGGTCGCACCAACCAAGACCAAGAAGACTGCCGTAAAGAAGGAAGAGGCGTCTGGGAAGACAAATGCAGCGGTGGTAGAGGACACGGGAAGACGGAGGTCCCTCCGACTGAAGGGGTGAGCATTTATATCTTAATCAGAGTTATACCCCATATGAGTCCCGAATTCTCGTGAACACCAAATCCCATCCCCCTCAAACCCCAACATCCTAGTTTACTTCACGGCTCTGACTCCACATCCGGCGGGAACGTTCCAAACAGCGCCATGAGATGCTGCGTCTCGTCGCGGGACAACTTCTTACCCTCTTCGACTCCCTTGGCCATCATACGGAAGTCTACCGCAAACCGTCAGCTTTTTTCACACCAAGATGACACTCGTCACGAGGTTCGGCCTCGGGACGCTGGGCCTTCCGAGCACTTACAATCCATGTAGTATCCTGAAGTAGATCCCATGTTATTAGCCCACCTTGCCACGATGATATTCACGAAGGATTTCGATGAAAGAAGTACGTACCTGGGGTAGACGTCATGAAGAACTCTGCGGGGTGCGTCTCGGACGGGTTGGAAAACGTGTGGATCGCCCTCGGCGGCACGACCATCAACTGGCCCTCCTCGGCATCCACGTTCCCCTCGGGCGTCGAAAACCGGATCGTCCCTATTGCCAGTAACACAATCGAAACGTCAACGAAATAAACCCTCTCCATTCAGTCTAAACATGAACAGTAATCCGATTCAACTACATCAGCGATGGAAAAAAACTCCCCCAACGCCGTTTTGATTTAGTAAAAGAACTCACCCTTGGTCACAAAAAAGCACTCGTCGTGGAACCGGTGCCAATGCATCGGCGGCCCGGACGTCGCCGGCGGCAGCTCGAGCGTCATACACCCGACGCGGTTATCCGTGTTGGTCCCGTCCTCGAAGATGTAAATCGTCATGGGGCCCAGCTTCAGGCACTCGCTGTTCTCCTTTGTGTAGAGCTTCACCGGTACGGGTCCGCGGAGAGGCATCTTGTAATTTTGAAGGCCGCGTTGCGACAACTTTTGTTGTCTAGTACTTTTGTTGGTGGTACGTCGGAGGTGGTAAGGTGCCTCCCTTTTCTTTGGATGTTGATGAAGTTGCCCTTTGAAATTGGAAATATTGCGAGAACCGGACTAAGAGAGAAGGACGTGGTGTAAAATGACCTCACTGACCTATCGAGAATCAATCCGTGACATTCATCTGATGATACTAACAATCTCCCCAAATGGACGTCCGGCGCACCGTAGAGGAGGGGGAAGGAGGTTGAGGAGGTTTAGCAGTAAGCTTAGGTAAGACTACCAAACTAACCTACTTACCTATCGGATCTGCCGTGTCTTTCTATGGATGGACATCCGAACTAGTCGGTTGAGGCGTTTTTCTTTGTACATTAGTCTCGAAACTCACCCGGAAAAAGCAATAAGGAAGCAAGCAGACAGACACAGTTGGTTGCACTGCACGTTAAGAGAGGCAAGTGGGTGACAAAATCGCTTGCTGCTCTATCAGTACCCTCCCTAGCTGCTATCGTATTATTTCTATTCCTATGCTTCTTTCGAAGAGTATTCTCTAATGAATATATCAAAGATCATAACAAAAGTAGAAGTAATAAAAGAATAAGAATAGTGGGCATGATAAGCATGCAAGTAGGCGTTATAATCTTGTTGACTAGCATCCTATTTTGTCACCCACTTGAGAGGGCCTGTCGGATTGAGTCTGTGTCCTCCCACGAGCCGTCGACCCTTTTCTCAGCTTGAGGTGTGTTTGGGTTTAGCAACATGTGCAAGTGTCTCACCGGTCTTTGATGACGCCAGTAATGGTCGCAAATGAGGGGGGCGCCTTCAAGTATAACCTCTCCAGCTTGTGGAATTGTCCTCGATGCAGCCCTGATTATCAGACATTGATTCGTGTGCGGTGTTCATAAATGCAGTGTCACAACGCAGGCGATAATCATCACAATCGTAAAGTAAGCCAAAATGTTGTGTTCCCGAAATACAACGCCTGTAACTCAATTCGCCGAGGGCCTTGGGCCGTCTGCTATGCTATAACATTTCGTCATGATCAAGATATCATGTTGCGGACATGATGTAAAATTCCCAAGAAGCCCCCCCTTGTACAGTCAAGGCCAGTGCCGACTGTCGATAATACGCCATCCCAAATGCTTTGAAGCTGGATTATTTCTCAATTCGCTTTCCCTGCCATCCATCAACTCCAATGAGGCGGATGGTTGATAATGGTCTTGATGCACCTAAAAGTGACTCCAGATCTCCATGCAGTAGTAATTCGCTTTTTTTCATCGTTCTTCGTATCCTGGTGGAAAACGCCGCAGAAACATCCTAAAATTGAAGGAAATAATAGTAATAGAGAGTCGTATCGTGTCCCGAGATGCGTGGGCTCTAACTCGCATGCGTGTAATGTGGGTATCGTAAATGCCTAATAGCAGATGCCTCGCTCGTAATCAAGTCGTGACATAGTTGTTGCCTTTGTAAAGAAAACGTTTCGTTGCCTTCGCGACCGGATGTTTACAGGCGCCAGTGACGAAATGTCGAAACAAACTTTCGTGTTTGCGTGTTGCGTGTTGCCGAAAATTAATCCTCGCGTGCGACCTGGAAGCCGACAGAGTACCGGAAGTGTTGGGAGTCCCAGCGGACGGGAATCATGGTGAGCAGGTTGACAAAGGAAGTGCCGTCTTTCCTGAAATTGACAACGTCGGTCTGGAATTCGTCGTTTGCCTCGACGGCCTTGCGCATGCTCTTGACGGTTTCCTTGGGGATATGCTTCCTGGCAGATTTCTTGCTGACCTTTCCGCCGGGCGCCTGAAGGAAGCGGCAGTTCTTGCCAAGAATTTCGCTGTTTTTGTAGCCGGTAAGAATGCTGAAGTGTTCGGAGGCGTAGACAATCGGGCAGTCGGGCTGTTCGAGGTCACAAAGAAGTAGAGCAACAGAACAGTCAATTGCGCCAAGTTCAACCTTGGGGTTGGGCCTTCCAGCGACGCGGAGCTGATAATTGTTAATCACCTCAACATCCATCGCCGACTTGGGTACTTACGAGAATGCTCATCATGTCGAATCCGCTGGGGCAGTAAAGTCCAGGGTACATGACGGGATCGGCAGCGGCTTGCGGTTGTCGCCAAGCACCACGCTTCCCACGCACAGCTTGCTCAGTCTCCTCGGAGAATTGGTACTAGAAGGGATGTCAGTACCGGAGCCAGAAAGCCTGAGTTGAGAGTCCCAAACGTACCTGAAGCGCGCAGGATTCCCACGGATTCATGGTTGTCGACATTTGGTTTTGTGCCCGAAATGATAGAATGCGTTCCGTCTTTTGCGGTTGAAGATAGGAGGCCGGGTATTGAAACTCTTGCATCGACATTGTGAAGGTTGGCTGAGCCTGAAGGCTGAATGTGATTATAAAGCGACGATGTGACGGGTGACTGGGAGGCAGCGGGATGTGTGACCGGGGGGTTTGGCCGGTACGAGAAGCGAGAGAGAGCAGGGTTGGCGGTCGGTGATATTGTACAGAGTAAGGCGGTTAGGCACTTTGCATTATGCGTATGTCTGGATGTGCTGGCAAGGGAGTCGATCGGGGACTATGAGGATTATTGCTTGAGAGCTGCTATAGCAAGTGTAAATCGTTGGTTGACAGAGTCAGGGAAAAAGTGACAGGTCGTTGTGGAAGGATGTAAGGTCATCAAGCCAAGATATCGAAAGGACGGTACGATGTTCGCTGAAAGGTGCGTTGGGTGGTGCAACAGACGTTATTAGGCAAACGTACAAAGTACACTTTGGGCAAAATTGGTGGCAGAACGGTAGGGGCTGGTTGGAGATACCGTTGTCCACCAGCGAGCGGAGCGATCGTTGATGTTGCAGGACTGATCGCGAGTCGATGCGTGGAACACGGTGATCGGGAGCAGCAGTGTGGAGAGGGGGGTGGGTTTAGGCCTGGAACGGCCTCCTGCAAAGTTAAGGGTCTGGGTCTCTTTGATGTCTTCGGCGTCTGCTTGCTCCCTCAGGTGGTGAGCTTGGTGAGGTAAGCTCAGCAAGGAGGAGTAGAATGAACGGTCCTTGCTCCGACTTGTTCGTGACAGAGCGAGCGTTACCATCCAATCCTGGCGAGCCATTTGATCGTCAGATGGCCCATTACATCAACGAAAGATGGCGGAAGGACCAACGACCGCTGCCAACAGGTCGGGCCCATGTCCTCGGTTCGTACTGCGAAGAGCTCCCACGTCTACGCTCGCCAGGGGGTACCCGCTCGCTTGACGAGGTGCAGAATATTGTACAGACAGAGTATGCGCTAAATGGGGAGCCATCTTCGCGCGGGGTGAGGAATGATGGCGACGAGCGTCACCTCGTCATGTTTGGACGGCAGCGGTAGTGCGGCGGGGTTCGTACCAAAAGCCTAACAGCCGGCAGTGCCATTCTCCGTAGACTTGGGACGTGGGGAGGCGTCCCTGATGTTAAGCCGTTGTCAACGCAAGCTCTCAGGCTGGTTCGGGTCGCTATCTCTGATCGATGGCATTGCTGCTTCCGGCCAAGTGCCGCTCGTTGAGGACCATCGGTGACGAACTGCGTGGGCGCCCAGGGCGATGGCCGATGGACGTGTGTGTGGGAGCCAGGGTGATGAGTCGGAGCGGAATCCGATGCTCAGATTTGCGTTTGGCCCAGCGATCACAGCGATCGCCGCAACGGGTTTCCCATAATCTCGATTCCACCAGCATGGGCCCCTGCACCCATTTCGATCCCGCCTGGATGAGCTTTTTGCTCACTTGTGGCATGTTTTGCCCATGCTTTGCTTGTTGCGTACACCTTGGTGGTGTGGCAGGCCGGCCACCAGCATCGGAATCGGGCTTTTTCTTTGCTGGAGAAACGTTGCTCAGAATCCCCTGGTCGCCATCGAATTCTGACATGGGCTTTGGGGTGACAGGCCTCAAACATTGGCATCGAGATGTGGTTGTGGTTCCGTTCCCTCGTCATCCGCCTGGGAACGACCAAGTTCAATGAATCGCTTGCTCCTCTACACCACACAAAGCACACGACGTCTCAGGCCCCGTACAAGACACTACAGGGCAGAAGTGCGCTCGGCTGGCTGGTGCGATGAGGTAGACTGGATTTGGCCCTTTGCATCCATGTCTGTTGCTGCCCTGAAAGAATCGAACGCAGGTTGACAAGGGCGCCGTCTGAGTCTGTGCTCGGCCAAGCAGCGCGCATCGAGATCTCTCACTTTTTTGCCTGTCGAATTCATCCCCCAGTCTCCGTATTCCGGGAACTTGCCCGCAGCCTGTGGTTGGCCATTGAGAATTTGAGAGAGCAATCTGTCTCGCTACGCAGAACGAGCCCAGGCCAGATCTTTGAATGCCCCTTGATCGATCTAGCAGAAGGAATCGGCCGAGAGACAGGGGTGCGACGGGAGACAATGGCGAGAGCGAAAAATGTGATTCCGGTCGTTCCACGAGCACACAACGGATCCGGATCATGGCGGAATGTTTGCAACGCGAGAGTCGGGTGAGTTGTGTCCTCTGGCATCTTGCACGCATTGGAGTTTTGCGGGCATCGGTCGACCCGACGATGCCCTCAATCCCAAGCACTAACTACCGATCGAGATTTCCCAGTTGAGCAGGCAGGCGGGTATTAGTTGGGTCCCGGATTGAAAGGTGTCTCTCGATCCGTGTCGACGTGCCCTCCGGATGATTCCCCACTACCGAGCTGAGCATGAGCCAAGCTGCATGTTCAGTTCATCGGTGAGAGCCTGACGGCGGGGCAGCACATGCAGCTAGCGTATCCATAGGGAGTGTATCCCGTGAGTCCGTAGACGTTTGCTGTGCCTCAGTTGACAGTTCGACGTTGGGTGACGACCATCTCGATTGCACTCCTCGCCTGGCTGGAGCTCGTCGGGAATGCCGCTTGACTCTCGACTCTGAGGCTCAACTGGGACAATCAAGCTCGAGCCTTGGTCTCGCTTCGTCTCGAATGCAAATATTCTGTTGCGGGTGTCGCCCAACCGCAGACCAAAACGAAGACGCGATGATGCCAACGTGTGAACCGATCCGGCGGCAGAATGGGGTTCCAGAACTCTGGGGTTTGGCGGCAATCGGGAAAGTCGTGTGGCATCGTCGCTTGCGGTTGAGGATCGCGGCGATGGAAAGTGGCAGCGCCAGCTGTGACCAGGTGTGTGGTTTCCAAGCGCCGACTCTGTTGACTTGGAGCAGGTGCGGGTTCTCGCTTACACTTCCACTGCTCTTTCCTTTTTGGCAATGATACAACTTGACGTTACCTTTACGCCTTCCGCCTTCCGAGTTAATTAATTCTTCACTCTTGCCCAACCAATCCCGAAACTGTGATAGGGTGATCATGCCTTTTCTGAGTCCAATTAGCGAGAAATTCTCCCAGATGCAATGTCTCAACCAGACGTCTTGCTGCCGGTAGTTGAACAGACTCCGCTCTTCCAGATTGGCTACATCCAAGATTAGACATTACGAAGTGCCTGTCGCCATTTGCCAAGGATCGTGAACCGACCCTTCCAGCAGCTCTGCCTTGATGTGATGAGATATCGTTTGGTCAATTGTCGTAGATACCATCTGACTAACACCGCCGTGTGAGCAGTGGCTTTTGGATGCTTTAGACAGTCAAGCTCGTACCAAACATAGATACACGTAATTCCCAGAATTCAAATGTACAAAAAAGACAGAATAAACATACGGATAATTACACACGAAGACTTGAGAATTGGCAGCATCAAAGGCCGCTGCATCAGATTTAACAAACAATAGCAATGGAAGATGGTTCGTTTCGCCTCTCATGCCTTGTAATGATTGTCCATGTCTAATCAATAAGTAATGATTACATTGTCTTATTCGATAGATATAGCTAGAGCCTTTTGCCAGACAGCTTGGCTGGTAGAGTATATAGAATTTGAAGATATCCCCATTGCCTCCTCAAAAAGCAAAGTCCTCAAATGCCACATCCTCGCCTTCCAACCACCCATTCAAGACCTTGAGCATCTCCGGCCCGGTACACAAAAAGTACCTCCTCTTGATACCACCATCCTTCACATCGCCAGCCCTGATCCTCCTCCTCTCTACAACAGCCCCAAACCCTTCAAACTCCCCCATCATCGCCTCCTCCGCCTCTCCAATCTCACCCGTCACAAACACCCTCAACACACCAGCCAACCCAGGAATCCTTCCAACAACGTCCCTCACTAGCTTCACGTCCTCTCCCTTGACAGTCCACAACACCTTCATCCTCACACCAGCTTCCAAAACACCACCAGCCTGCGCAATCAAAGGCGTAATCCCAACACCAGCGGCAACAAACACCTCTTCAACATCATCACCGCCGCCATCACCCTTCTTCCCCTCCCCCCTACCCATCCTAAACGCCTCTTCTCCGCCAAACCCAAGCACAGGAACCTCCAACGGAACCCTCAAATTCCACCTCCACAACATAGTCGTAACCGGACCATTCTTCCTCGCCGTAATCTCAAATTCCTTCCCTCCCTTATCTCCCGGCGGACTCGAAACCGTAAAAGTCCTCACGTAATCATCATTCAGGCTCTGCGGCTCGTCGTCGCGCATATGACTCCACCCGACGTCCAGCTCCCCCGCGAAGTCAAACGTGACGTACTGGCCCGCCTCCCACTGCGCCGCGGGCTCCAGGCCAAAGACGAACCGCGCAATCGTCGGCGTGATGATCTCGCGGCGCAGCAGCGCGGCCGTTCTGGTGCTTTCCGTAGACGAACTCAGAACATGCTGCTGCTCGGAGAAGAGCGGTCTTACGGGCGGGTTGTACGGTGACGGCTCGAGGGGGGTGCCGGAGAAGGGTAGGCCGGACTGCACAAAGACCGCGGCCGACACGGTGATTTTGACGGCGAGTTTCGTGCGTGGTAGGTAGGCTGCCGCGTCTTGTCCGACGAGTATCGATGCCGATCCCGTGAGCTTTGCCCACCTCCAAGTGTTAGCCTCATAATCTTCCAAGTTCCAGGTGAGGCTGGGAAGAAATTGAGTAATACTCACGTAAAGGACGTCTGACGTCTCAAAGTCTGGTATCGCGATCCCGACCAAGGGGTTCAGTTTAAGGTTCCCCAGCGTCTGATATAACCGATTGCCGGAAACTATAAGATGATTAGCCTTCTCGTCATAACCATCGATCCGGATGCAAATGACTCGGAAAGGGGGTTGCAGTAAAACCCACATTCAGGATACACAATCTCCACGCCACCCTCATCGTTCCTCGCAACCCTCACAAACCCCCTCGACCCTCCCCTATGGTTCGTATCCATACTGCTGCCACTGCCACCATCGTCCCCTCCCTCCTCGTGTCCGCTCGTGAGGAAAAGCATATCCGCCCCGCGCACGACCTTCACAGCCTCCTCAGACAGCGGCAACTCCCGCTCCACTCTGCCCTTGACGAGCGACGCCCGCGGGATGACGTCCTTTTTGTTGAGGTACTTGGGGCAGTTTCCCAGACTCTCTTCGACGTGCACCGCGATTTGTACTTCCGAGGAGGAAGAAGAGCTCCGGTCCTCAGCGGTAGCAGTGCCATCCGAGGGAACCGTAACCGCCCCGGCTACCATCCTCCCTCCGAACTTTACGCGATCCCGCGTCGTGAGGTCGATGGCCAGTCCGGAGACGAGTTTCCCTCCATCCGGACCCCTCCCAGGCTGAATTACCTCTTGCAAATGCTGCTGCTGCTGCTGGTCCCCGTCTACCTCCCCTTCGGCCCCCCAAAGTGCCTTGAACACCGGATCATCACCAATGTCAACCACGCTCCTGAGACCAAGCACGTCCTCCGCAATCGGCCTTGCCACGTTGCCCGCCTCCCCGCCCCATAGCGTCGTCCACGGCCGGCGTTCAGCGTCGAGGGTGCCGAGGGCCAGGAGCGGGGCGGCGGCGATGCGGTTGCCGTAGGAGGGCGGGAGGCCCGCGGCTGTGGGGTTCGCTCTGTGGCGGGGGATTTTGAGTTGCTCGTGGAGGGCGAGTTCGCCTTGGTGGAAGGGTATTGTTCTGCCTGGCATGATGCCGTTGGTGTTTTGTAGTTGTGAGTGGAAGAACAGGTTTGAGCTTGTGAGGAGTTGTGATGAGAGGAGGGTTGTCAGGAGGAGGGTGTGATTCATATGAGATGTGTATTGAGGGTGTAAGTTCGCAGGTGATCACGTTGTTTGCATTGAATTATGAGAATTTTGAGAAAGGTATAGTAATATCACATCGTTAGAAATCATCACAAACACCACAAGATTAATTGTAAGCGCATCTGTATGAGCCCTGGAGGATGAAATTGACATCTCCGGGTGACAAATCAGCACCGAAGGGCGCATGTCGTGATCAGCGAAGGCGGGATTCCAAAGCTGACGGCCTGACGTAGGTTGGCAGCTGGTGAAGACGGTTACTTGGCACTGTCAGACTGTGCCAGGGGTCATCACGACGGGGAAGCGGGGCCAAAACTTTAATCGCCTGCATTGGCGTTGCGAGCTTACCAGGGGCCCTGGCGCCGCGGGGGACGTTAGTGAATACAGTGTCAAGTATGAAGAACATGACAAAGGCAGACGAAACCACAGAAAGTGTGAACATCGGATTGTCATCAACAGACTTTGGTATTCTTGAGTTTCTAAAAGTACATTTGGATTTTGGCGGTTTCCTCTCTCTAGCGGCTCTTGGAGCACTTCTGTAGCCAGTAGACCCTGAATTCCTAGTAGTACATGGACGAACGGAGAATGAAGCGAAAAGTTTCGGGGGGTATCGAAAGGATGGTCGTAAAAAGACGGAGGAGCAGCCTCAACCTCAGCCTCGACACTCTTGTGTTCTCCGAGTAGTGTGAGAGGGCTGGGCGAGGACGAAGAGGAAATGACGAGAAAGGCCTTTCGTTAAATGTGCGCTTGTTCCCTGCGCAAAAGTAGACACCCCTTTTGAATCATAAAGACATTATGAAAAAAAAAAGAAATTGCGGGACGTAGCCGCATAACCCTATAAGCGCACGCGATCTATGAGCCTCAGAAAGGAGCACGGTACCCCTAGTACCGCGGATCCCTCTGAGATTCTACATCGTTGTTGTAGCCGTACCCAGGGCCGCGAGGGCTCGGCCGCTGGCTCTGTGAGGTGCCAGGACGGTTGAAGTAGTCGTCCTGTGGCCGGGGAGGCACGGGCGCCGTCATGTTCCGCGTGGGAGCATTCGGCGGGCCTCGGGGCGGAACCGGGCCAGTCGCGCTCCGTTGCGGGTTGAACGGCTGGTACGCTTGGTACGGGGTGTTGTTGAGCGGACCGGGACCACGGGGCATGGGTGCAGGAGCGCGGCCTGAGTATGCTGAGGGTGCGGGGCTGGCCCGTCCATTCGACTGGTTCGAGTAGTCGTCGTAGGTGCCTCTGGGCGCCGGCGTGCCACGGTCACTCTGGTACGTGTTTTGTCTTTGCGATCTGAAGCTTTCTACCGATCGGCCAGTGTTGGATCTCACAGGCGGAGGGAAGGGTGGCATCGTGTCGGGAGAGTATGTAGAGGGGCTCTCCGAGAAACCACCACGGAGAGAACTCTGTGAGTTGGTTTGCACGTGAGAGATTTGAGGCCGGAAGCTCCTTTGCGAGTTGGAAGTGCTAGGGCGCTGAGGAGGGTAGTTGTTCAAGTCCATGGGTGGCAGAGAAGGAGCCGGAGAGCCCGAGCGCTGGTATCCAAAGTCGGCAGCGCCGCCAACAAGAGGTGCGCGCGACGAGTAGCTGGCCGTGGAAGTGGTGGTGCCCATTCTCGAGGGCAGGGGGCGTTTCTGGTCCATGGAGTTGAGCTCGATGCTGCCGGGGGTCCCGGGACGAGACTCGTAGGCGGGCAGTGTCGCGAAGGTGTCGTTGCGGCCAAACATGGGCATCTCGGCCAATTTGTCTGGGTCTCCGACATTGGGTAGAGTCGGCAGAGTGGCCTGTCGCTCCAGGGGCATCTTTTCACCATTCTTCTTGGCCGCCTTCATTTCTGCCTTTCTCTTGCTTTCCTCCTGTCTCGCTAACGCCTTGTTGACCTTGACTGTAACAATCTTCATGAGGGCCTTGGTGACCTTGCGCTCGCAGTAGCCCGAGAGACCTCCATCGGCCTTGGGGATCCAGTGGAAGAGGAAGAAGACGTAGAAGAGGACAGCCATGATGAGGTAGAGAGCGGAGAAGACCCAAATGAGTAGGGTGAAGACCATACCCGACAGGATGAGAGCCTGCTGGTAATCCTCCGTGGCAAGCGTCTTAATCTTATCAAAGAAACCCAGCAGAGAGCCCTCGACGGAGACTTCGTGAACAGCAAGCTTGGCGTCGTAGACAGACTTGAGAGTCAATGCGTTGACGACCTGACGAGGTCCCGAACAGACCAGTACACGAATCCAGGCTACATAAGATTAGTAACGGCCGCGATGGGAAAGTAGGATTGGCTTACATTGAAAGCTGAAGTAGGTGAACAGAGCAATATACTCGGCTCCCTTCTTACTCTTGGTGAGTTCGGCAAAGACCAAGAAACGCTTCCAACCCTGGCCCTTTCCGAATCGGATACTCTCGAGGCGAACGGCAATGGTGTCGAGGTAGCATTCAGCTACGTTTCCTCGCTTCATAACGCGGTGCGCCCGGAAATGCTCAAAGGCGAGATTGACAAAGGAGGCGATGATGGAAATGGAGAAGATCCACTTGGAGATCTTGAAGTCGATGGCGGGGTCGATTTCGGAGGACCAGCGGTCGAAAGCCAGGAGGTTGATGGCAGTGAACATATCGACGCCGTAGACGGCGAGGGAGATGATCAACATGAGCCACAGGTAAAAGTACGCGAACGGAGTGAGGCATCCTCGTGACTTGAAGTCGTTGAGGTTCTAGACAGGTTAGCACCAGAAGAATGCTGTACCGTATGAGGCTCTACATACGATATAGTCCCATTTCTGCTCGGCACGTTGGTCAATGACCTTTTTGCGGTGAGTGAGGCAACCCATCTTGGGTAGTGGGCGGCGAATTGACGAGTGTGACGAATGTCAAAGTTGTATTGAAGAATCCCGACACAGTCGAGTCGGAAAAAGAGAAGAAGAAGGGTGATGGTCGCCGAGGGACCAAACGTCGTGTGAATGAGTGTGATAACGCAACCCGGACCTGCCGCAAACACAAGTCGTTACTCGCCCGCGAAGTAATCGACAGTGTTTCTCTTGGTGATGACCAGGAGAGAAAGATCGATACTTGAGACGGGACGAAGCCGAAGGAGTAGAGGAAGAAGATTCGGTTGTTGAACGAGAGGGAGAACGGAATGTGGGTCCCAGGGTAGGAGGAAAGGGCTGAATGTGCGACGCAAGAGTTCGGACCGCGCGATTGTCAAGCTGGCATGGTCGAGCGACCGGGCGTTTGAGGGTGGATCAAGACTTGGTGAAGATTCGTGGCGACGTGACGACAGCGAGCAAAAGCCAAGTCGGCTGGTCGACCGTAGTGGGAATTGACAGACCCGGGGAATGGGGGTAAAGTACGGAGTAGTCAGTACTGTTGTCGAGCAAGCACTTGAAGTTAGGCGGTGACGGTTTTCTGGTTGTGGGAGAATATCCGCGTTTGATCGGCCGCCGTGGGCTGCAAGGCTGAGTCTCAGGATGTCGAAATGGGCGAAGAGAGTTACAGTGCGCAATGCGAGTGATTGAGTGAGTGAATGAGTGAGTGAGTATTGTGTGTATTCAAAGTTCGAGTCTAGAAGGAGCGGACGTCGTGGATAATTCGCACGATCGGAATGTCTCGGTCGAAGACGTCGAGTCTTACTCTTGAGGCCATGGAAGTGCTTCGTGAAGCTCGAAGGAGGAATGTGTGTGGCGTGGTCAAGACGCAGAAGGTAAGCGTTGAAGCGTGTGACCCTTGAGTGAGGGAGAGTCTCTGAGAGGAGTGAGAGGGGAGTGGAGGCCTTCAAGAGTGATCTGCGAGAGGGGGGGGTCTGACAGTCTGACTAGGGTCAAGACACCGGGTCAGTGCCAAAAGGGAAGGAAAGGGGGGCCTTTTGGGTAAGATGATCCAATAATTGATGATTGCCGCTGATGGTTGCAGAGTCACGGACGCGCAGACATGGGCAATGGAAGGGGAGACGAAGACAGGCGGTTTCGAGCAAGCGTCCACCGTCCGAGGGGTCTTGCCCAAAGTGCCCGGAGACTGGGAGGAGGAGAGGCTTGTGGAGCAATAGCGAACGGAAGCGCGGCCTTTAACGCAGGTACCATGTCGCAAAATCGACCGATTTGGTTTAGTGCACCAACAGAGCGTTTGAGGTCCCATTTCCCGTGACCTTCTAGGGAGTTGATTGGCTCAACTCAATTATAGCCCTTGATAAGTACCCCACAACTTTCCACAGTCTCTCACAATCTCTCGCAGTGTACAACGGTACGTACTATCTCCGTTGGTCTTCTTCCTCCTCCTCTCCTGCAGTCCTGTAGTCCTCCTCCTGTCTCTCCGCCACCTGTGCCTTGCCGTGCCTCCTCAGCCTCTCATGTTGTGCATCCCCTCCTGCGTTCAACCCATGGAAGAACTCGTCCCGCACCAAGCCTGCCAGTTGCTCTGTTCGAGACAGGCACTGGTTCGAGATTGACCATGGCGGCATGGCCACATAGTTCGCGGCCTCATCTTTACAGCCGCGGCTCGGACGCGCCCGCTTCACCCATCCAACCATCGACCCAAGTACTGCGCCTCTCGAAGCAGCGGGAAGCCGCCGGGAATGCTGTTTCTTTCTCACTGACTTGTGGTCGCATTGTTTAGACCGTCCTGAATGAAGCTTGGAGGAATCGCGGACTTGTCGCTAACCACTCCCGCAAAATGCAACGTCAGCTTTTCAATACACTAGGTAGAGCCGCGCCGGTGCGGTGGAGATGAGGCCGGCCACGAGGCCTCTTCTCGGTCCTAACCGATGTGGCTTGCAAGTGCAATACAACTGACTCTGTTAGACCCAACACTCGGGCATCCGACAAATGGCAAACAATTATCTCAGAACCAAAGCTATACTCATAACGACGCCGGCTGTTCACAGTCGTCGCAGCCAGAATGGATACTCAGCCTTTCAACACGGGCATCCCGTCTCAACTCTGCTCAGCTTTGCCCGGAGCAGTCTCGCTGAAACGCCGTGCCCTGGCCCATACAACGGTATGCATGACGGCGAGCTCGCGGATACACGACCCCGGGTTGCCTCTGCTGCTTCTTCTACCTCCTACATGGCCAGTGCGCCCTCTTTCGCATTGATTGTTCTTCCATTTATGTCATTCGACGGTTCGGCCGAACGCAGGGTGGATGGCAAGCAGTATCATCGAAACGAAGAGTGACGCCGCGTCTGCGGAGTATTCGTACAGTGCCACACTGCGACGAGTGCCTCCTTACAGCTCCCTCCCAAAGCATAGCCTGAATATCGCAAGGGACCAATGGACCTACAGACCGCCCAACACCGCTGCACCAGCCTCCGGAAACAACTCCAAGGGATGCGTCGACAAACGCTCCCGGATCAGACGGCAGGTCTTGGCCAACACGACCCAAAAAAGGGCTCAGTCAAATTTGATCGCCTCCCACATTCGGAAGACGCAGCATTTCGCTTCTCCACGACCAATTTGCTCGGCGGGGTGGACGCTGGTAGGTGCTGGATGCACGTGGATTACCCCGGCCATTCGGCTATCTTTATCGCCATTCTAATTTGAATGCGACAGGCCGACAAAGAAATGACGGTGGGTTCAGAAGTCGTGCGACCAGCCTACGCCAGGAATTCCATGGCTGTAGATATGGGTAAACGCTCTGTGTCACCAGAGCATGCGGCTTCGGCGCGAACGACTAAAACTGTTTCCTCGCATATGCCTCCTCCCGTTTGGCCAAGCCTGCTGCTTCGTTTGCCTTAGCGAACGACTGTACAGACGTTTCGACCGACGGGATGCAGGGCATTTGTTATGAATATTTCGTGTTATTTGTCTGTTGAGCATTGCTCTTGTGCTGGAAATGAGTTTTCAATTTTCGGGCAACTTACACTGTTGTGAGGCTGGTTCTAAGGATGTCTTAAACATCAACGCTCATCACAATTGCCTGTCAAGTGGCGTACTCTATGACCCTTTCCGGAATGCCAAGGCGGCAACCGTTGAGTCAAAGACTACAATAGCCATAGGGCTATCCTTTGTTTCGACCGTGACCATGGTCCCTTCTAGTTGACGCTGCCTGGTGAGCAAACGACGATGCTGTGCTAGGAGGACCTACAAAGAAGACAGCATCACCTTTTTTTCAGAAATCTCAAGAGTTCGCCATGACCCCAACGTCTACAAGCCCATCGAGTGACAGGTCCCAATTTGATACCCCCCAAAAGGTCCAACATGTCAACATCAACAGCCGAAAAGGCGGACCCAGACCACCCGCAGCCGCCATTCCAGCTCATCAAGAGAGTCGAGAAGAACATCTGGATCACCCGGCGCAATGCCCAGCACGCGGGCTACGCCGACGGCGAAGAGTTCATCGCGCGCAAAGTGGACGACTTTGACGAGTACTACGACGCCGGCAAGTACTCGATGAGCTTCACGACCAAGAAGCAGCGCCAGGTCAAGGGCCTCATGGACCTCCTCTACACGCACAACATGGGCCGCAACGTCTCCCACATCCTCAACCACGAGAACATCATCTCCCTCGCGGGGTACCTCCGCCAGCAGCCCCTAGACCCGCGCGCGGAGAAGCAGGCCACGGAGGACTATTTGGTCTGGGATATCTGCGACGCCGGCACGCTCGAGATCCTCTTTGCGGACCACCGGCACGCGGAGCATGAGCCGGGGTGCTTCCTGCCCGAGTCGCTCTGCTGGCACGTCCTTACTTCTGTGGTGCGTACGCTTGTTTGGCTGCATGATGGGTATCGGCAGGAGGTGGACTGGGTGACCGGCGAGAAGTCGTGGGCGGCGACTGATACGGAGTGGATGCCCATCCTGCACCGCGGTATTGATGCGCAGTCCATCTTTTTTCAGCATTCGCGGGGCAAAGAGACGTACGGCGTGTGCAAGCTGGGCAAGTTTGGCCGGGCTTTCGTGTCGGGGGTTCCGGCGCGGCGGGAGGGGGCGCTGGAGAGGGAGGAGCCGCTTCCGCATAGCGTTGGGTTTCCTGTTGCGCCCAAGACGGGGCATATGCGTCTTACGGAGATGATTGAGCAGTGGAAGGAGTATAAGGATACGGGAAGGAAGGTGAGTTATCCCGGAGCAACTTCGTACAGACACACAGCAGCTCGACTAACATCACGCCCACAGAGCAAACGCCTCTACACGCTCAGCGACGAACACTGGGCCCTCGGCGCCGTCCTCTTCCGCATGATGACCGGCCGGCCCCTTCCCAGCCTCGACGGGTGCCAGACGTGCCAGTGCATCCACGTTCGGCGGTGCGCAAAGATGCTCTGCATCTACGACGACGAGACGCACAAGGGCAGCCGCGGGTGCTTGCACGAGAACTTCCCGGGGTGTCAGTGCGTCGTGCCGTCCGGGTCGGCGCCGAATGCACGGGCGGGGCCCGGTCCGGCGTGTGGTGGGGCCGCTGCGGATGTTCATCTTGACGAGGTGCTGCACCGGTCCGGGTACTCGCGGTACTTGAAGGTTGCGGTGCGGACGTTGTTGGAGTATGACCTCGAGACGCCGGCTGTGCAGACGAGGGGGTTGGCGGAGGAGATGGAGAGGTTGTATAAGGAGTGGAGGTGCGAGACGGAGGAGGGGAGGGAGTATGTGGACGTGCTGGATGATCTTGGGTACCGGTTCATGGTGTTGAATAAGATGTCCGGTGAAGTTAAAGACTAGTGGTAGCAGTGTCTTGGAGGTGTTTGATGTTGTTGTCAAGCATATCGGGAAGAGGGACCTCACCGACTGGCCTCGAAAGTGTGCTTCTATGAGCTAGGTATGTCATGGTCGTAGCACATGAATGAGTAAAAGCTTCTCAAGCTAGTTGACCAAGGCAGTTCGCACTTGTCTCTCGTAGTTCATCCAATGTATCCATGAAGTCACACGACACAAGCACGTTGAGCTGTCTTAGTACCTTAGCTGCAGTAGATTCCGAGCACTAACAGAACAAATTCCCTGCGTGACAGACCAAGGTACCTTACGTGCTTACCTATGGTAGGTACGTGCCCTTCAGACGTTTGACAGGAAGCCCCACCTTCCGCCAGGTGCTGCCCAAATTTTACTCGGCGCGCGACCTCGAATGGAAGCTCCGAGTGCCACAGCCTGCCCGCCAGCTTCCAGGTTGTCCACCACCACAACCTGGCAGTCGTGTGGACCTCTATCTTTGCCCGAGTCTCAACCACCACCCGACCATCGCCAATCCCTCATCCTTCCAGACGCATCTTGCCCTGGCTTCGAAGGTTCGACGTCGATCACGTTCAGCAGTCGTGACGATACACAACACGCATTCACCAAACCGGAATCCAAACGAAGAAACCCGCATTGAACCATACACCTCTCCTCCCGAACACCGGAACCGCGACATCTACAAACCTCACCACACCTCAACATCCCAAACTCCTCATCACCCTCACCAACAGCCATCTCCCCCCTCGACAACCAAAACCACAACAGAAAACAAACAAACATGTCCCTGAACCAACCAACGCCCCTCCTCCTAACAAAACGCCTAACCTCCTTCCTCGCCTCAAACCTAAACGCAAACCTCCACACGGCACTCCTCGCGACCCCCTCAGGCCGCCTCCTCGCCCACGCCTCCCCGCAGCCCGTCTCCCTCCTCCGCACCCAGTCCACCGTCGCATCCTCCCTCTTCGCCCTCCACGCCTCCGCGACGCCCGACATCCCCGACGCGCTCCCCTCCTCGTCTTCCACGCCGCCGTCGTCGTCCGGTGCTGCTGCAGCAAACACGGAAGATGGAGGATACCACGCGGGAGGAGCAGGAGGAAAACCCCTCACGATAACAGTCCAACTCGCCGCCGGGGTCGTCGTCATCCGGAGACTAAAGTGCGGGCTACTCTTCGTCTGCATCGGTCCCCTCGCCGAGACCATCGAAGCCCAGCAAGCTTCTTCCTCTACCGACCAACACTCTCACTCGCACCACTCTTCCCACGCGAACGCAGGCGCAAACGGCGGCGCGGGCACAGGCACGCCATTCCAGATCCCCGCGTCCCCCTCGGAAGCAGATAGCATCCTCAGCCTCGGCGCCCAGACGACCACCTCCCTCGCCAGCGTCGGGAGCGTGAACACCGCCGGCGTCGTGGTGTTGCGGCGGCATGCCGAGGAGCTGGCGCGGTGGTTGGACGATAAGCTTGGGAGTTTGCGGGTTCCCGAGGAGGGTGTGGGTGTGGAATAAGCTGGTGTCATCGCATTCTCTTTCTCTCATGGATAGGGAACCACGGGGAAGCTGTACGAGTAGAGAGATGGGACCTGGGACAGAGTGGCATGGATTTCGCATCGACTTATCAAAAGGGGACGAAAGGGGGCTTTGGGAAGCATTACAGGCGTACACGGGCGTTTCGGGGAAGATACCACCGGCCGAGAATTATCCCTTCATCTTCGTAATCACTCTGGCGTGTACAATATCTTGCTCATTAAGGATTTCTATTCCATTTGCAAGTAGCCTGTGTGCTATTGTGAGTGCTTGTGTGTGTGTGGTGCCGAGCTCGGCCTCTATGGATATACTAATTTGCTCCTTGCTCCTTGTCCATAACCTCCCAAGATTCGTTCGCCTTGATACCCCCCCTTTCTCGCCGGTATTTTGTTCACACGCAAACTGTCCTATCCCAACGCCCAAGAAATGCAGACTGCGCCAATTCCACCCTTCCAAAGACACGCCTCAAGAAATCACTCGATGCTCATTCGCATCAGACCGTCGTTGGTATCAACCATGCCCTGGAATCCAACGCGTCCTTTGTTCCCGTTCACTACCCGGCCGTTGGCGTTGGCGCCGCTACCGGGCGTGCCGCCTCCAAGGCTTCCCGACTCGCTCGGCGCGCCACTGCCGCCCCTATCGCCGCTGTTGCTGCCGGGCCGCGACCCCCAGGGCGCCACGTCGCGTTGCATGGGGCTCTGCATGATGGGCGAGTTGTGCACGCTCATGCCTGGGCTTACTGCCCGGCGCTTGAGGCTGACGGGATCGTAGTCGTCCTCCCGCCTGCGCTTGCTGTTGATCCGCCGTGTGATTTCCGCTGCGCTGGGTGCCGGTTGCGGAGCCTGAGCGAGAAGAGGAGTATCTCCCTTTTGAGACTCCCCGCTGCTTGCGGCCATGGCAAAACCAGCCGTAGGGCCGAGTGACGGGGAGTCCATGCAAATGTCTTCGCTCATTCCTGACGATGAGCCGCGAGGGAGTCCTCCGTTAGGCGGGGGCGGCGTTGTGCGAGCACCGCCGATACTGCTAGACTCGGAGAAGGTATCCCAGAACTTGGTGCCCTTTGAATTCTTCAAGGCTTGTTGCTTAAAGCTGCCCGAGAGATTGAGGGCCGAGTCGGTGATCATGCTTTCCGGTATGTCGTCGAGGGATTGGTCTTGGTTCCCTAGGTTGGGCGACGAGTGGGTAGTAGCGGGAGGAACGGTCTGTTGACGAGGTGCTCCGAGATCGACGTCACTCTCTCGCACTTGACGGACGACTTCGGCCTCTCTTTGGGTTTCCGTCTCGACTGGCGCACCTTCCTCGAATAAAGCCGCCCTGATACGAGCAAAGTTCTTCGTCTTGGGTAGCAGGTTTCTACGCTGCGTAACCACCCGTCGCATGACTGTAGGGCGCTGCCCATCACGACTGGGAGTCGAGAGTAGACCGTCGATATTATCACCGCGCTCTTCCTCGCTCCCAGAGATATGTAACTGGTTGGCCTGCCAGCTAATGCTCTCCCTACGTGAATGTGCCGACATGTCTTTGGGCACGTTGTTTGGCGGCGACTTTGAGACACCGGCATTTGTGCTAGGACTGAATCCTAGACCCAGTGGCAGTTTGTGTTTCTTTTTTGGCTGTTTCCTTTGCCGCTGCCTATGCTGGAAGCTCATCAGACTGTTCATTGCCGGAGAGCCTCCCCAGGGTGCCATCATGGGATGTGTGCCCAAGGGCGCGGCGGTCTTGTTGGCTTGCGGTGTACCAATGTACGGCTCGTCCATATCCTCATCCATGAGATCATCGTCGTCGGAGTCGGAAGAAGAATCTGACCCAATCTGATTCGCGCTGCCCAGGGAGCTCGACACCGTCATGCGCTCGTGGTTGCCCATCATGGACCACAACGAGTTGGTGGTTTGCTCGGCCTGTCCGTAGTCGTTGCTCCTGCGTCCCGGGATATTCATGCCCCTTCCTCCGATCGTAGGCGAGGAGTCGGGTGAGGACTCGGCGAGTGTTGAGTGGTGCAGGCTGGTGGCAGCGCGTGAGAAGTCGAGGCCGCGGGAGCGACGAGGGAGAATATTTGTCGGACTCGCATAGATCTGCGAGTGGTCGAGCTTCGGTGATAGCGGCGCGGGCTTCGTAAATGCGGTGGACGAGTTGGCTGCAGGGGAGGCAGGGTCGCGGTTCGCGGGCATCTGCAGCGAGAGACCGCGGAGGGGGAATTCGGTTCGGTGAGGGGTTACGGGTGTGGTGGCCGTGTCTCTGATGTGGTTATCGTCCTTGGATGCCTGGCGACCATCCGCAATGTGCGGTGAAGGAGTGAGCTTGGAAGGAGTTCCTCCTCCATCAGACATGGAGCGCGTCTTGGACAAGGGCGAGCGGCCCAGGCGTTGTGGAGTATTGAGGGCGTTTACGGGGACGTCGGCGTCCTTATCGTCGTCCACGATGGCAGACTCAAAGTCCATGTCCCTTAGATCCATGGTTCTGTCCATGGCGGGAGGCAGTGAGGTTCAAAACTGTCGAGGTAGTCGCGAGAGCCAGATTCACGGAGCGATCTGGGATTTATTGTAAGTGACGCTTGATGTTCGGCAACGTTAAGTGGGTAGTGGACCAGGTGGTTTGGGTCTAGTCGTCGTTTGGGGGCTGGTTCTGGCGGGGATCGCGATTAAGGCTTTGGCGATGTCATTGAGATATTGGTTGTAACATGCGGGGTTGCAAATGGCATTGTTGAATGTCGCAAGACCATTTGAAGCGCTCTTTGTACCTTACGTTTGATGTCGACGGAAAGGAGGCTGGTGAAATAGTGATAGCTCAAGCAGCCACCTCTCAAGGTTGTTGTAGATGGGTCGAGGTTGAATTGGAGTTTGGTTGACGAGCGAGCGCAGCGGGTAGGCGGGCAGTGCAGTTGGCAGGCGGGCAGACAGACGTTGGAGAGGTCTGAGTACCTACTGTACATACTCTGACTACATATTTAGCAATGTACCTTACCTCAAGGTGCTGTAGGATAACCTTTCCGGTTGGATGCGGCCAGGCTTGCCAGGGTTGGAAAGTGAAGACGCAGTAGGCGCCATGAACAGCGAACCGTGTTGAGCCGTCTGAGGCTCATTGGCAGGCTTCCCCTTGCGGGGAAATCAGAGGTATCAACGCACCCAAATTTGCTGCTGCGGGTACTTTGCAGTTTCAAAGTACCTAAGCACTGCCCATTTGTTTCGTCGATCCACAACGGCATTTCCATTTCCATTTTCATTCCCATTCTCATTCACTCACATTCCCGTCACTCACTCACTCACTCACTTACTCACTCAGCTAGGTGTTCTCTGGCTCCCGCCTGCACTTCCCCACACTAGCCCCGAACCGAAACGTCGTGGGAGACGAAAGCTTAAAATAGCAGAGGCCTTTGGCCACTGCTCACTTCTGTCAGCCTTAGGTTCCGTTGGCTTTCTGATCGTTGAGTGTTTGATGGGTGATGAGCTGATTGTATCTGATCGCACTTCGGTGCCTCCGGCCAAGGTGGAATTCAGGGCCATGTTTCAAGGGAGAGAACCATAACAACCTTTTTATTGACGTCTGACTTCGACGACGTGAATGGAGCTCTTCACTCATCGTGCAACTTGTCAGAAAGGTGGCAGATTACACGCGGAATAATCAGCCGCTCAGCCCCTTCTGCCTCTACCTCTATCTCCTATGACTACTGCTATCACTTCCACTGCTAATCCTAGCTGGTCATTAAGTATACTCTGTGTATCACTTATGCGCTGACCGGCGGATCGTTCCATCACCCACTTGAGGCTAATCATCTGGCGAAGCTATCTCCATAGCATTCGCGATGTTGAGTCAATAGCCCGTCGCAGGATTAACCATCACTGTGGTCATGGCTGTCATTCCTCGTTCATGCCCCCAATGTACTCAGCCGGCAGGTTAGCACGATTTCTGTCACTTGAGAAGCTATCTTGCGATCTGTATGATAGAGAAATCCACAAGTGTATTCGTCTGCCGTGCGCTTCGGGCAGATCTCGGGCTCCGTTATGATACACCTACTGCGCCGCCACCTAACCCTCCCACCTACCTAAGGTAAATTCACAACACCTTACCGACCTTGAAGACTTGGCCATCAAAAGAAGGTTCTTCGACCCAAACCATCCCATGGTATTGATGGTGATAAGGCTGATTTGAATGTTGGCTGGCGTGAGCCTTACTCTTTCTACAGGTATATATATGTACATGTACAAGGTGACAAAAGGCGAGCAGCAAAGTCTTCTCGGACACACGCAACAGCAACCACTCGACATATTTTACAACATGGCCGCGGCAGGTATGATTCTCGCCAACAGTCGTCGTCATCAGCAAAGCTTGCGACGAAATCGTCTTCCTCCTGAAGAGGTCCATGCCGAGTTCCAGGTGCCCGTATACCCATCCGATGAACAGAGCATCGCCAAAACATGTCAAGAAACACCTCCACAATCAGCCTGGGCGTGGTTCGCTCTACTTTTTGGTAGAATGAGAAAAGACGCATTATACCAAGGGCCAGGCCTCGATCAAATCATGCCTACCGAGTTGCTCCTCGCCATCTCCGCTTATCTAACCATGGTCGACCGCGCAGTCCTATCTCTGACGAGCTTCAGAATGTGGACCATTTTCGGAGAGAACAACTTTCTACTGAGTCTACCGTCTCAAAAGAAACTCGAGCTGCTGACGTTGCTGGAGAGAGACGCCGATGAGCACAAAAACGGCAACGTCCTCTGCAGGCCCTGTCAGATCTTCCACCACCCTTACTTGTCGATATCCACCGCCTATCACAGCAGCACCGGCGCCAAGGGCAGCGGCTATAATCGTCCCTGTCTTCAGGAACCCGCAAACCCGCATCAGAGACTAGTTTCACCCTATCTCCACCGCACCCTTCACTTCAACGTCCTCAAGCACTTCCATGCTGATAAGCGTTCTAAAGTGAATCTGTGTGGTCCTGATCAACTTTATCTAGTCGATTCTGTTGCATATTGCCACGAGAGCGTTAAGGCAACGGTTAAACAAATCATGACGGGCCGTATCTCGACACAAGGCGAATTGCTCGTAAAGACCGTCACAGACCTTTCCGCGACCAGAAATGACGTCCCTTACCTTTATCAAGTACTAGAACGGAACAACCTCATCAAATGTTGCGGGCATATGTACTGGGCAGCGAGGTATCCTTTCATATTTCAGCATAATATGCAGTATTATACCGACCCTGTCGACCTTGCGAGATACAGACGAGAATGGGAATCTGATGATCTGAAAAGGATACGAAATATCTGGCATCCGGATGAGGAGCCCCAGCATTCAATGGACAATAGGCGTATGCGTGCCTGTGCCTTTTGTTACACCAACTATACGTATGAATGGAGAGATGTGGATGGGAACCGAATCGTTCGACTCATCTCATATAAAAACCTCGGAAAGGGAGAGGATATGAACGATGTGAAGTGGGCATCGCATTTTAAATACAGGGCCTGTTCAAGGGAGGACATGATTCGATTGCACTGGTGGGAAGGGTTCGGCTCAACATATACTTGGGTAGGACCTGGCGAGAGCGAGATAAAGGCATAGGCGGGGAGAGACTGATCGTGGCTTCTCGTTATGATCACCAGAGAAGGGTGGTGGGAGGATGAAACCACGCAAGAGAAGCTTCGATATAATCCTCGGACTTCTCATTGATACTGTTTATGAGTAGGGCTTTCAATATCCTCCAGACACATGCCCGCCAAAGAAAGCAAAGTGTGCGGTAGGGACGTTGCATCTCGAAGCTGAAATTGCATACATATCAGAATTATGGCGACGTAACTCTGTTTCTTTAAGTAATAGCACGCGCAGTTGGGATTTGCTTTTATCCGTCTAACACGAGTCTTTGTGATGTATTAGTGACTGCTACGGATGAAATCTTGAATCAGTAACGCTTGCGGAGGTCATACTGATGCTAGCACGGCTAATATCAAAAAGTCATTCAGACTGACAAAAGAGTTCACCCCCCCGGTGCTGGACTGGGGGCTACATCTCTTGGTGCTCATGCTGGGAAATATCTGGTGCTCAAGCTGGGATTCGAACTCGGGTATGCGCTGAGCCTGTCGTCGAGTAGGCTGGTTGGCGAATTGATTGTTGACCATAAACCACTCCACCACCCAGCCAGTTTGACCTGACCCGTCGACCTAGACGGGCGCCTGCTGGCTGGTGACAGGAATGGCAGCAGAGGGGTATATGAAGGCTTGTTGTGTGGTTATTCAGGTTGTGTATTCGGACCCGGTGGAAACCTGGATGGTTCAGGGGGGAAGTCACGTTAAGGCTCTGAGGGAAAGTCCTCCACCGTGGGCCATACACTTGCCATGTTGAGCCACACTCATTAGGAGGTCAGACTTTAATTCTGCGCCTCCTATCGTTGCTACCTATATCTACCTCAGAAGTTTACATGCGTCGCTGTGATCTTTCGCCCTTCACGGACTCTTTCTCTCTTGAGACCACCTTCCCCTTAATGGTCAAGGCAGATAGACCATAGCGCCTCCCAGGCATATCTCAATTTTCGCGCTGGAAGAGCCTCGACCACCTAGAATTCTTCCTTACCTGCCATGCCTTCCAGTATACCACCAACATGCACCTTCATCTCCCCCAAACCATCCAGCACCCGGCTTGCATGGTTATTAAGATCACTAAGAAACCCATCGGCACCGCGGTTGCAATCATTTGCCTCTTCTAGAGGCGGTCGTGGGAATTGCACCGGCAGAGGTCCAGCTGGCAGAGCAGAACGGCTCCGGTCAGAGTATAACTCATGACCAACGCTATAAGGTGAAAAGCAGTTTAACACCAGCCCTTATGGGTCTTCTAGTTCCTTAGTACCACTATAGTCATCATAACTACTCGACGTTATCCCAAGCGTATTCAATAAGGAATATACTAGAAATGCTGATCCGTAGTTATGAACTTTATAAGAGGGAAAGTTAAAGAGGTGGAAGAAAATTTAAGAGATAGCCTATTAAGATAGTAATAGTATCTACCGATGCTATGTATAATACTATATAAACGATCTTAAGAATCGCCCGAGCAGCTAGCAAAGGTAGGAATTAAAAACAAATACTAGAAATACAAGATAGCTTTAAGAATAATAAGAATGATAAGAAGTTAGGCAGAGCCTATGAGTACCTTTAAATACGTATAAGTTGAAAGATCGTTGGGGTGGAGGGCTTTAACTAGTTTAGACACTCCCTCTTCTCTCTCTACTCTTTTCTACCGAGGGGTACGCTGTCATAAAGCGTCCTCGCCCTAGGACGACCCTGAACTAGAAAGCGACGTTGACGCCGGTAGATTGATCTAGTCAAGACATAAGAGATAAAATACCAGTGAGTGCTTGACAGTTTGTCGGGTCCGGGATTTCCGAATAACCTCTTCCGGCATGTGGGGGCCGGCCGTCGTAACGGCCACTCCCGTCGCCGTGTCCCGTCCCTGACCTCAACCTGCAACGGCGTTGAAGGCGTTATGTAATACAACTTACACACCAAGGGGAAAACCAGAGTCCCGGAGCAATCTATTACCTCACGGCTTACCCTGGTCGAGTCCGGTTCCACGAAGGAAGGAAACCCACGTCCGTCCGGTCCCACGGCCGACCAAAGTCCCATTTCGTGAATCATCAAAGGACCAGAGACGCGGCGGTCGGTCAGATTATGAGCCGCAAGCGATTAATCGGCCGAACGCACGGTGTGAGTCAACATTGGCACTTGTGTACAGCACCTGCAAGTGCAAGGATCGCCGTGACTCTCGGAGCCGTCTACGGGCCTTTGGTCTACGGGCCTCTACAGGTAAAGTCTGCAAGAATGGGTTCAGCCGCAGCCAGGTGTTTGCGGTGTTGGTCGGCGCCCGCTAGGGAGTAGCGCCCCAAGGAGACGGGAGATGAGCAGAGGTCTGAGCGGTTTGCTGGATGCGCGCTTGGAGTCTTGACGTCGTAAATCCAAAAAGAGGCTTTTTGGATTATGAAATCAAAGTGCGAGGGCCGAAGGCGTCGGCGCAGAACTTGACCAATCACGGGCGCTTGTTACAGTGGGTGACCCACCCCGCGTAAGTCGGACAAGTTTTCCCTCCGACCACCGAGATGGGCCGACCGACTGGGCTGGAATTCCTGGAATTCGTCTGGATTTTCCGGTCTTTAGATTCTCTTAGATCCATCATCCATGGACCATGGTCTACGCAGTACCGTAGCACTCTTGATCCACTGCCACATGGAGTCTGCTGCAGCCGTCGTAAACCGTAAAATAAGGTAGGGAGGATAGGTACCTACTACCAGGACTTTGTGCTCGGAGTGACCCCTGCCCCTGGCCCGATATCCCTCCGCCCTTCCTCCGGCACTGACACACACACACACACACACACGCGATTGAGGCTCACGTAACTATGGTGACGAAGGGCGTTCCTCCTTCGGACATTTTCTTCTTTTTTGCCAATTTCGATGACCACAGTTTGCAGCATGTCTAGGCCGAGTGACTCGTTTCCCCAATTCTCTCCTCCCCATCCCACCCACTCAAACGCAGACAAGCTCACGCTAAGGTATCCCACCAAGTTTTACCTCCTTTGCTTACCTGCCTTACATGACAACTGGGTATCCAAAGTATGGAGCGCACAAAGAAAAGATACCTTGTCTTGGTAGGCATTGACCAAATGACCAGGGGGGAGCTTGGGCGTTTGGCTGGGCCATCCCTGGGGCTTACGAGTGTTCAAATCGGGTTGGGGTCTGCGATGGTGCAGTCTTACCCGATGGGATGCTGCAGCTGAGAAATTTCACGATCTCAGATGTCATTCAGGATGATTTACTAGTGTACCTGACCTTACCATACCTTACCTCGCAAGCGCGAGCATCAGCCCGCCTCGTCTGATGGATACATAAAACCTGCCCTGCCTGCCGCACACCTTTTCACATGCGTCTCTTGCCTCTTCTGTATCATCCAGGGTCCTCCTTCCTTTTCCTTCTTCCCACGCCCGTAGGTTTGTAAAAGAATAACATCGACGTCTTCCCTACCTCTCTACTCTACCGCTACGAAGAACATACACACCACCGGTTGAACCAGTGTACAAGTTAATTCTCCCCTGGAGCAAAACCACGACAACAAAAGTTTTCATCACAACCTACACTGTCACCATGGGCTCCAAACACCCCGACGAGAAGCTCGGTGACACCACCTCAGCCGATCCCTCCATCTCTACCGAGAAGCACCACGTTCACGATGACCCCAACATGCCCGAGACCTACGAGAAGCAGGACCCCTCTCACGCGACCGGCGACGACGACGTCTACTACCCATCTGGCCTCAAAGTCGTCCTCATCCTCATCTCCCTCTGCCTCGCCGTCTTCCTCGTCGCCCTCGACCAGACCATCATCGCCCCGGCCCTCGGCACAATCACAGCAGAGTACGGCAGCGTCAAGGATATCGGCTGGTATGGCGCCTCCTACCTCCTGACGACGACGGCCCTACAGCCAATGTACGGCACAATCTATAAGCTCTTCAGCATCAAGTACGCCTACCTTACTGCCATCGCCATCTTCGAAATCGGCTCCCTCGTCTGCGCTCTTGCGCCAACCTCCACCGCCTTCATCGTTGGTCGCGCCATTGCTGGTATTGGTACTGCGGGTCTGTTCTCCGGATCCATCGTCATCCTCAGCTACACCATGCCTCTCGAGAAGCGACCCCTGGCATTCGGTCTTATTGGGGGCATGTGGGGTGTTGCGTCCGTTGCTGGGCCTCTTCTGGGTGGTGTCTTTACCGAGAAAGCGACCTGGCGGTGGTGTTTCTACATCAACCTCCCCATCGGCGGTATCGCCATGGCCTTTATCTTCTTCCTCCTCACCATCAGCCGAAAGAACAACCCCAGTGGAGAGTCTCTGATGAAGCGCATTCTGCAGCTCGACCTCATCGGAACGGCCATCTTCCTGCCTGCGATTGTCTGCCTCATTCTCGCTCTCCAGTGGGGTGGCGCCGAGTACCCCTGGAATAGCTCCAAGATTATTGGACTATTTGTCGGATTCGCGCTCATGATTATCGTCTTCATTGGTATTCAGCTATGGCAGGGCGACAAGGGAACGCTGCCTCCCAAGCTATTCAAGAACCGCAACGTCGTTTGCGCCATGCTGTTTGCCTGCTTCTTTGGTGCTGCATTCTTCCCGCTCCTCTACTATCTGTGTAAGTGCCTTCCCTACCCCTGCTTCTGCTTCCGCTTCCACAGAGTCATCACACTCGAGAACCAGCATTCTAACAAATTGTAGCTCTCTACTTCCAGGCAATCCAAGGCGTCAGTGCCGTCCAGGCCGGCATCAAGATTCTGCCCCTTCTCCTCGCAACCGTCGTCGCATCCATTGCCAGTGGCGCCCTGATCTCCATCATTGGCTACTACAGCGCCATCATCCTGCCGTCTCTGGTCCTCTTCGCCGTTGGCTCAGGCATGATCACCACCTTCGACCTCGACACGCCCATGCGCGAGTGGTTCGGATACCAGGTGCTCGCGGGCCTCGGCATCGGCGCAGGTTTCCAGATTGGTGTGCTCGTCGTCCAGACGGTCTTGCCCCAGGAAGAGGTTCCCGTCGCGACCGCATGCGTGCAGTTCTTCCAGTCCTTTGGCGGCGCCATCATGATCGCCGTCGCCCAGACACTGTTCCAGACGGGTCTCATTGACGGAGTCACCAAGAACGCTCCGGATATCAACCCCCAGATCTTCATCAACGCCGGCGCTGACCAGGTCCGCAACATCTTGACGCAGATGGGGCGTGCTGACGCCATTGACGTGGTCCTTGAGGCCTACATGGATGGACTCAGGCACACCTTTTATGTCACTGTTGCCTGCGCCTGCGCTGCTTTCGTTGCCTGCCTGGGCTTGCAATGGAAGAGCGTCAAGAAGGAGGGCAAAGGTGGTGCTGCTGCTGTTGCTGTCTGAGAGTTTCAACGTCTTGTACGATACGAAGTAAACGGTTACATGAGATTTAGAGGATACCCGGTTTAGAACCCTGCTCTACTTAGACTAGAAATTGTAATGTCGGATTGTTATTGTGTATGAACGTAAACTTCTAGACGTAATTGATATGCTCTACTACGCTTTCATATGACAAAACCAAGAGTGGGCGAGGCCCGTACTAGACATGCGGGTCCTGAAAAACGGTATCATTGATGGCTTTTTGGCTATCTGGGCCTCATCAAAGATGGTGCGCTGCCAGATGCGGTTGTATGACTTGAGATAGGACTTGAGTTCCCATCGAGAGATATAGACGTTGATCTTTTCCGAATCGGTCTCGTCTACGTACTTGTTCTCGTTAATATAATCGATGTTAACGATAGGACGGTTGTTCTAGAGGTCATACTTACGGATCTTACCGGTATGGTCATGCGGCTCGAGACCAAGTCCGGCGCGCTTGATCTGCCTGCTATATTTGCGGTCCGTGATGCGAATGCCCACATGCACTTGATGTAGGAGGCGACGGGTAGCGGTGTTGGGAGTGGTAAAGATCACTCTCTAAGTGAAAGTTGTGCTCTCATACGGTGCTATGTAGCTCTCTCATTATGACGGGGGATATTCTCACCAGAATACTCGAGGTAATAGAATAGCCGGATAACAGCCTTGACTGGTGGTGTGGGCGGGGAGGGCCTGCGAGGTGGAGGATGGGGTGTGCGGCGTCAGGCGGACACTGGTGATGAATCGGACGTTGAGGAGGAAGTGAATCCATTCTTCAAGCTCGTCAAAGCAGTTTCAGGAGAGAGACGACCGCAACGCAGAATTAAAGCGTGAGGCGATGCATAATCCTATTATGCAGGCTACCAGACAACAGGGGTTTGGCGGCGGTGGCGCGGATACCAAAGGTTGAATAAGTACTACTTTGCCCCCGGTTATGATGGGTTAGGAGAAGATCCCAAGTACGGTACGATACTCTCACCTGAACATGTCAATCATGCTGCCAGCTACGAGGTATCAAGGTTGTTTGTACGATGGGCTTTCTATTTTGAGTCGTGTACTCGACTGAACGCCAGCGTATAAACCAGAATAAATCATGCCTTCCGAGCATCTATCAATACAACAATTCTTCCCTTCCCCTTTTCCGAGCGCGAAGTGGTTCTTACACTTCACTGGGTATCATCAGGCAACGCATCCCACCCCCTCTTCACAACCCCCCTCGCCGTCGTCTTCTCCTCGCCGCCGCCGCCGCCGCCGACAAACCTCATCACCCACTCCCACACTCTCCTCGTCTTGACAAGCTGCGGGTGTACCGTGCTCGGTTCCCCATCCCCATCCCCTCCTCCTGCAGCGAGAGACCTCTCCAGGTCCCTCGGACGATAATACCCGCCCTCATCACCCTCCCCCAACTTCCGTCTATAAAGCACCGTCGTCCTAGTCAACCCCTTCCGCAGGCTCTGCCCATATACCTTTCCTCTAAACACATGCAGCGCCACATTCTGCAGTAACACGACGTCTTGTCTCCGGAGATTCGCCGGCGACGTCGGATCCGCTGTTGCGGGCTTACCGGCGTTCTTTGCAGCTGCTGGGGGAGGCGGCGGCATAGCAGGCAACCAAAACGTCACGCCGAACCCGGCGCGCGTGTCGTCCCCTAAGAGCACTTCGACGAGGGATAACTCGGTGCCCCAGCGGGTGGTCACGCTTCGCGGGGTGGAGACGGAGATCACGCCCGCGATGAGGTTCACGGTGACGGTCTGCGGGGCGAGGCGGAGGAGGGAGGGGGCCGGGGGGATGTCTTCTAGATCGGAGAGGTGGTGGGTTGAGGTCAAAAGGGGAGGACGCGGGGTTGAGGTGGAGAGGTCTGCTGTGGTGTCTTGGAAGGAGTCTGTTGTTTCGGATATGAAGGAGTCTGTCGCTGTTGTGTTGAAGGAGGTGTTGTCTCTGTGTCTGGACGGGTTTTGCTGGGGTGGAGGTTGTGATGAGGACGGAGGGGGCGGGAGCTGGGAGGATGCGAGGTCGTGGTGGAGGGCTAGGGAGTGGTTGTAGAATTGCTGGGAGAGGGGGTCTTGGGAGTCCGTTGTGGTTGTGGTGTCGTTGTTGGCGGTTTCTTGGTGGGCGTCCCAGGAGAGGGAGAAGAAGTGTGCTGGGGGGAGGAAGTTTGAGGGCAGGCCGTGGGGTTGGGAGTAGCCTGTTGTTAGGGGCTTGTGGTATAAGGGGAGGGATCGCCAGCATGGGAGGGCTATCGTGGTTGTATTTGCGTTTTGAGTTGCCGGTGTTGAGGTTGACGATGAGGTTGACGTTGAAGTTGGAGTGGAGATGGGTATAGCGGGTGGGCCGGAGAGGAGGAGGGAATCCGGGGATGACCAGTCGGCCTCGGGGGCGCCGGCGAAGATGATGACTTTCGGCATGCAGGGGTGTCTTGGGGCCGGCTCCGGTCCGGCGGCGGCGGCGGGTGTGTGGGTGTTGGTGACGGGAGTGGACTCGGTGAGTGTTGGTCGGGCGAGGTGTGGCAGACGAAGGGCTGCGGGGCACGAGAACCTGGCGGTGCGGCGTGCCTGGAAGATTGGAGATTGCGGGGTAGAATTGGGTCATCCAGTCCGTCACAGGTCCCTCCAGAACAGAGCTGAATTCTGATGACGAGAGACACGGGAGCGAATGGATGACAGGCGGGTGACACTCACACACAAACACAAACACAAACACGACACGAGGAACAATTACTCGCACGATGGGCAACAGGGGAAAACTCAATTCATCTCAGATGGCGAGACTGCAGCATCTCAAACGTGTGGCTGATGGTGTTAACCATTGTCGAACTTGTGTCCCCCCCCGAGTCGGTTGCCTCCAAGACATGGAATGGACACGCCAACACGGTCGATTCTGTTGGATTTGCTTTTTTCTTCTCATTTTGCCAGAATTCTCGGTTGCAAATGCCATCAAATAGATGCCTTCAGAGTGCCACTTACATGGATGATGGATGTCTACGGCCTCGGGGATGGGAATGAGCCGAACTGAGGTACAGATACTTTAAATATTAATACAGCACAGGCAGTGTTAGCCAAGCTACATGGCAGGGGCCGTACCCGTACTCCGTACCGGTAACCGCTGGTACCTCGGCATCTACCAGCTCCACACAACACCCCCAGGACCCCAGACTTTCACCTTTACTACGTCGACCCGGTCCCTTCGTCGCAAGCTTAGTCCCATCTTCTAACCTCGTCAATCTTGCCTTGCCTACCCTACCTGTGTAGCCGATGAAGCTGGCAGACGATATTTTGAGACCTGGCCTCACCTTGACCTCTTTTCATCTTATTTCTCCTTACTTAATACACGTACCAGACGCACGCACTCTCTCACACATGAACTGAGTGTGTCCTGGCTGAGCAACAGCAGTCCTTCACTCAGTGAAACTCACTCATCTCACTTCATCTCAATTCAACCAAACAGCCTCACTAAACAATCAACATGTCCTCCGTCTTCCACATCAGGGAGCACGTCCTCGACGGCTCACACATCCGCGAGTTCCCCCGCGCCCTCTCCCGCTCCCAAGACGACGTCCTCAAGCTCGCCGTAAAGGAGTACGTCCCAAAGGACAACCCGAACCCCAAGCCCGGCGACGTCACAATCATTGGCGCCCACGCCAACGGCTTCCCCAAGGTTCGTCACCTTCATCTCACTCCGTCTCATGTTTCCTCACGAACCACACACCTCACCAACACCACGCTCACTAATCATCACAGGAACTCTACGAAGCCCTCTGGCAAGACCTGCACGCCCAGTCCCTCCTCCCGACCTCAACCTTCCGCATCCGCTCCATCATCATCGCAGACGCAGCCTGGCAAGGCCGCTCCTCATCCCTCAACGAACCCCTCCTCGGCAACGACCCGGGCTGGTTCGACCACCCCCGCGACCTCCTCCACCTCATCAACACCCTCCGCCCGCCGCGTCCCCTGCTCGGCGTGGGCCACTCGTTCGGCGGCAACGCAATCGTCAACGTCGCCCTCATCAACCCGCGCCTCTTCTCCGGCGTCGTCCTCTTAGACCCCGTCATTTCGAAATGGTCCTCCAACGCAAAGGGCACCATCGCCGCGTCTCCCGCAGCAGCGAGCGCCCGCCGCAGAGATCTCTGGCCCTCGCGCGAGGAGGCGCGTAAAGCGCTCCTCAAGAGCCCGTTCTACCGCGGCTGGGATGAGAGGGTGTTCGAGGCGTGGATGGACCACGGCCTCCGCGACGTGCCCACGCAACTCTACCCCTCCACCTCTAGCACCAACAACCCCAAAACCCCCATCACAAAAGAAAGCGTGACCCTCGCAACGACAAAACACCAAGAGGTCTTCACCTACTTCCGCCCCTCTTGGCACGCCTACGATTCTTCCGGCACGAACCTCGTCAACCCAGACCTCGTCCCGGACCTCGACCCGGCCCTCAACGAGCGCTACTACACATTCCCCGTCTACCGCTCCGAAGGCGCATCCACCCTCGTACGCCTCCCGCACCTGCGCCCCAGCTGTCTCTACGTCTTCGGCGGCGCAAGCGACCTCTCCACGCCGGAACTGCGCGACGAGAAGATGCGGTTGACGGGGACCGGGGTAGGCGGGAGCGGTGGGGTCGCGAGGGGGAGGGTGAAGGAAGTTACGCTCGAGGGTGGCGGGCATTTGTTCCCGATGGAGGTTCCTGGGACGAGTGCAAAGTTGACGGCTGAGTGGATTGAGAAGGTGATGGGGGAGTGGAGGGTTGAGCAGGAGGAATATGAGCGGTGGACGAGGTTGAGCGTCGAGGAGAAGACGACGCTTACCGAGGAGTGGATGGGTAAGATTGGGGGGTCGGCGCGGCCACCCAAGGCGAAGATCTAGAAGCATGTGTGTAGTTCACGAGCGACGAAAGTTTAGAACCAAGAGGAGCGAGAGCATGGTAGTGTTTGGCACCTTTGTGGAGCTGGATGTTTAGAGACACCTTTAGATGTAGAGTCTATGTACACAAGAAAGCCCGGCAGCTTGATCGTTTCATCATCACCGGCCCCTCCTACTCCTCTTCTTCGCCCTCCTCTGGCGGTATCCAAACCAGCAGGCCGTCCTTGTCGATCTTCATCCCCTCCGTCGGTATGATCCTCAATACCTTTTGGAAGTACTTGTCCCGAACCACGAGCGTGGGCCGGATGTAGTCGCCCCGTATCAAAGGTAGCAACCGGTACGTAATGGTACGCCTAGACACGGGCAAGACATGCGCCGTGGTCTGCTTAGAGCCGGAAAACGCAAACTCGTCACTGGGCTCCATGTTCAAACCAAACGTCAGGAAATGACTCGACGGGTTCTCAATGGTGATGTCCAAATGTATCAAACCCGTCACGGAATTGGCGAGAGAGTACGAAGCTAGGACGCGAGGCTCGGTGCCCAAGACGATGTATCTTGGGACAAGCATCCTGGTCGTGTTGACCGGCGCTGGTGACGAGGCTGTTGATGTGCGGCGCCACTTGAGGACAAAAGCCACGTCGAGGGACGCAGGCCCCCGATCGTCGAGACTGAACTTTTGAGCCACCAGATCGAACTGGGCCTCCTGCATCTGCTTTGGTGGGATTCGGAGCCCGCCTTCTGCGATGTCTGGGCGGGTCGCCGTGGTGCACCGTGCGTGATTCTGGCACGCAATGACTTCGGCGTCCATGCTAACAATCTCCAGGTCTTCCGTCGCGAACGATGCAAAGTGGCACACGAGACACCACTTTTGTGCCAGACCGCGGGGCTGCATCGCAGCTTCGTCGCCCGAGGGGTCCTGCACGCCCTCATAATCAAATAAGCTTGGCCAGGGATCCGAATGGAGACGCGGAATAAGATCGTAGTTTGCTTCAAAGGGGTTGACGACGTTGAGCTGGACGGGTAGAATCTGCATGATCAAGGTAGCCGGGTCGGCGGCGAGATGGTAAAACACCCTCAGTGTGACATCGAAAGAGGTGGTCAACTGTACGGGTTCAAGCCTGATCTTGACACGTTTTGACTGCGATATTGCCAAATTTCCAAGTGTCAACCCCGTAAGTTTGGCCTCCTCCTGACCAGCTTCTGCAATATGTTCTCCTTCGTCTTCAATGTCCACGCGGAAGGACGGGATCTGCTCGCCAAAGACGTGAGCCTCGAGCTTAGCCACAGCCTCGGTCTCCTCGGCATTGATAACATCCACAACCAGGTCCATTGGCTCGTTTGCGTAAAATTGATCGAGAGGTTGCGCCAGCTTGATCTCCAGCTTGGGCGGCCTGGCCTGGACTTGGATAACATGCGCGCTCTGCCGCACGATCCGTCTCCGTGAAAGATATGGTCCAAACCAAAAGTCCGTCGCTCCCAGATCCCGGAAGGTAACGGTATAATTCAGCAAAAAGGTGTCCGTCTCCAGGATCAACGTCGCCGAGGATGCGTGCGCCTCGCCGGGCTCCCGCAGAGGTATGGCCATCTCGTAAACGTTCGTGTGCCCAGGCTTCAGGGTCAGGTTTCCAGATCCGCTCAGCCCTGATGAGCCTTCCTCTTCCTCCTCGCCGTCTCGAGCCTGCTCGGTCAGGGGCACGTCCGCAAGCGTGACGTTGCCCTTGCTCTTTCCACCATTGGACTCCGGGTCATGATCTAGTGTGATGGTCTTCAAGCTACCTTCAAAGTCGATTCTCAGGCCCTTGAGCGTCACCGCCGATGCATCTGGGAAAGCGTCGGATCGAATGGCAACTTGCGCTTGACAGTTCTCGCCAGCTTTACCATCCTCGCTTTTGAAGATGAAGGATGCGGCGATGAAGGAGGAAACCACATCATCATTAATGGTCACAGTTGGTTTGGGCTCGATATCGAGTCCCTCGAGTGACCTAGATATGTCGTAGTGCCAGTTGGGCCGCCGTGTGAACTCTGTGTTGCAGTCAGTGTCCGTAAAGATGAAGAGAAGAAAAGATCTTACTCCTGTTCATCAGCTCCCAGTCAATGGCGACTACAAGCTCCCCGTGACCAATTCGGGCGGCCGCAGCACGCAACACCCAGCTCAGGTCTTCCGTAATGTTGAGCCATCCCTCTGATCTGAACGACATGTCTTCCCAGAGAGGTCGCAGCAAAGCAACAATGTCGTCCCAGGCCTTTAGGTTCACCATTTCTTTCGCGCATTCCAAAGACAATTCGGCCGATAACCGCAGTTGACGCCGTGCCTGGAACTGGGATCTAGCTGCCATTAGAATGTCTATAATGAGCTTAGAATGATTGACGCCCGTCCCCTGCAGAGGAAACTCCTCGTGAGGATCTGGGCACATGTACGTGTCGTATTGGAAGGCTTTGCTCGCAACTGCCGAAGCCGGAGTGGTATCTGGCGAGCGCCGGTCTTCTTCTGGAATAGACCGGGCGAGTCTTCGCCGGGTCATCAGATGCTCAGCTGCGATGCGATACCAATATCCCGTGTGATGCAGCATTTCCCATGGTCGTAAGCGATCGGCTGCAGCAGCCTTTTCAGGCTGAAGGAATAACGTTCGCGTTGCTGGCGCCAAGCTGCGAATGTCCACTCTCTCGATTAGATTCGCCATCACTACCGCCCACCTCGATTCCCATGCAGCCCATCCGTAGTTATTCGTTCCCCGGCCGCGTCGATCGACAAAGTCTGCTATCCTGTCCCGATGTGTGTGCCATTTCCGTACGGCAGCAGTGTTCTGGGATCCCCAGAGCAGGCATCGAATGCTGCGTATCGCCATCACATCCGCAAGCATGCGCGCCTCGTTCCATCTCGGGCTCCAGCTGGGGATTATGTCCATGACGTCCTGACTGAGGAGCCCCTCATAAGCTTGTTCATACGAGCGCAGCGCCGCGTCCATCTCCTGTCGGAACTCGGCGAAAACCCCCGTCTTGTAATCGTATCGTACATTCCAGTCTTGCACCGAGGTCGTTTGGGAAGTGCTCGTAGGCGGCACTGTAGGTTGCGGAGCAATTCCGCGGCTGCGCTTCTTCCGAGCATGACGGCCGAGATCGCGATAGTACTCTATGGCTTGCAAGAAGACAGCCGCAAGCATGGAGTCTGCAGTATGCTCTAAATCTGTTGAAAGGTCCTGGGGCGACAGGTAGAAGAAGGACTTGTTGTCCAAAGCAACGCCTCGCCTGATGTTCTCGAGTCTCTCCTGCATGAAATCTTGCATAGAAGCCGAAGCAACGCCATCGCTCAGGAGAACAACGGCGAAGCGTGTCCTGTAGCCTGACCTGCTGATAGCGGTCTTGGAGTTGTTGATGTCCGTTTTCAGCTGATTGTCGTGAAGGGTAGCAAGTGTCGGATCGGTCGTCAGGGTATAGAAAGATACATAGACACTGGGAACCATGTCCTCATGCTTTTGGAGCCAGTCTGTGTTCATCAAGCCATCGGGATACAATGGAGAGACTGGGCTAAGAGGAGAAAAGGGCGAATGCAGCACAGCGGGCGTCTCGGGAGCTTCTATGCCGTCTGGAAGTCTAGCGCGGCGAGGAGGGAGAACAAGAGACTATGCAGATGTTAGCCCTGACTTGATGCAAGTAGGTGGTGCGCGCCGTACTCGACCAGCAACGGCGACCCGCAGCCTGTACGGCTTCCCGCTGTCTTTGCCGTTCCATGGGTGATTCCTTCCATCTTGACGAACTATGTAGTCTTTCAAGGCTTCGGCATTCGGGCTTTCTATGCTTGGCAGTTCGGATCGGATCAAGAGGGCTTGGTCTCGAAGCTCTGCGTTCAGAGGCAGGGCTTTGGCGGGGCTCGAAGTCAGGCCGGCAATGACGATGTGCGGGATGTTATGATCCAGGCTTCCAACCGGGTATCCGTCCATTATTATCAAGTTGGAGCATGCAGCGCAAGGCGACCATGAAGATATCGATTCTTTTGGCAGGGGTCGACCGGATCGCAAAGCTACTCTAGATAGACACTGCACGTTAGAAGCATGTACTCCTGGTGATGGCAGTAGGTAGCTAGTGGGCACTCACGGAAGCGGTACTCAAGGGAGCATGACCGCTGGGATCAGGAAACCAGGCGATTGCAGCAAGAGAGCGTGCAGTGAGCAAGACTTGCACGTTGTCGCGAATGGGGAAGCTTCGTGCAAGTTGAGGAGCGCGCATGTACTGCGTCCTCCAACAGGTCTGTGAGAAGAAAGATACATGTCAAAAGTATCACAGCTCTCGTCCCGCACCTCACCCCAATCCCAGCCCACCGCCGGTAATCCTAAGCTACGTTAATGTGTTCAGGCCACAGGTACCTTATCGTCCCGCTGTAGTGATACGGGCAGTGACCACAAAGCAGGTGGACACCCCCCCTGAACAGCGCTGGAGGCACAGGGCAGCCGATCAGCGACAGTAGGACGTCTCGGCATCGGGTAAAGTGGCTGCCGATGCTGGGTGCCATGATTGGCTGTACACCTAAATGCGGTCATGATCGACCCACCTCCAAAGAGCGGACGGGAACCTGGCAGCAGTGGAAAGCGCAGCGCAGTCGCTATGTACCTAGTAGGACGCTCATCAGTGTGGGAGCGCAGTCGGGTACCCTCCACAGGGCCAGGAAATCCAGCCTCGCCCGCCCGCGTCCTTCTCCTCCCGCCTCGTCACAGAGGCTGCGCGCAGAAATTGAGGGCTACCCATTCTACCTTTCCTACACCTCTCCCACACCACACCATTCTCCGAACCGGTCTCGTAAATGACTTCCTCTCGCACCTCTCCCGATCCGCTTCGAACTCAATAACCAGTCATTTGAGACTGTTTAGTCTCTTTACTCGAAAAAGGCTCCAACCGACCCCGACTCTGTCTCCCCTCGTCCTGCTTCTCGCTGCCGCTGCCACCGCACCCACCTCCGTGATCGCTTGGGCACGTCGCCAGGGGCAAGAGTCTGAATAGCGCAATGGCAACCCAACAGATCCTGTTCGCCGAGACGGTCGCCGCTATGAAGAAGGCTCTGAAGCGAAAAGCCTATGGTACGTACACCAATCACTTCCCGTCGTGAAGCCTTGTCGACCTCACATTCTAACGAGCACCTGGCAGAATCCGACTCGGACGACGAGATTGACCACTACGGCAACCGCGGCCACAAACTCCAGAAGCGCGCACTCTTTGCTCACAAAGGTCAACTCGCACCACCCTCCGGTCCCGAAGTCTACAACGAAGTACGTCGCGAGTTCCTCCCGCATACCCGCCCACGGCGTCCGACCAACACTAACCATCGCAGGTGATTGACTACGCTGGCCAGCAGCGCACGATAATCAGCCGCAACCCTCCCATTGTAGACGAAGAAGGGTACGAAATTGACAGCGACGACGACGAGGAGCGCATTCAGGAGGCTGTCTCCTCGGCCACAGAGCTTGACCCCTACGCCAATATTCGAATTGAACGTCAGTACCACAAGAATCAATCGCGCTCCCAGGCTCTTAACTGACCCCGTTCCAGAAATCCTAGCTCCCTTGACTGCCTCAATCGATCTGCCACAACATCCGACCCTTTCGAAACCCTTCACAGCCAAGACCCTAGACGAGATAGCCGAGCAAAGCTGCGACGTTCGACGGAAAGAAAATGCATCGCTGTGGAGAGTCAGACATCTCTTCACAAAGATTTGCGGCGACTACACATGGGTCCCCTGTGGCATGATGGTCGGTCCGGACGATGCCGACTTGTACTCGACAGACTACGTCGAACGCGGTTACCTCCAAAACACGAAAGCCACCACTGCCGGATCAAACGGGGACGCCTCCTCTGGTACGTTGAGCGGCGATGCGAAACCAGAACATGCGCCAAACGGCACGAACGGCGAGGCGTCTGGAGACAAGGACAACGAAGATGGGGACGTAACAATGACTGATGCCGGCTCCGAGAAGGGGGATGCAGCGAAGTCCGCATCTGAAAAGGCAGAGAAGGAGCACACTCAGCCTGAGGCAGACGCATCCCAGGTAGCAAACGGCGAAACTTCCAAACCTAGCACGGTAGCCAAGGAGGCACAGGTTGAAAGCAAAGCCGACAAGAAGCAGAAACAAAAGGCGGTTGACGTTGAAATGCACGATGGCAACGCGATACCTCCGTCACAGCCCGGAACAGAACTGGCTGACGGCAACGGTACGCATGCGCCGTCAATGGCAACGGCATCGGAGACGGCGGACGAAACCTTTGTCCACCCATTTTTCCGGCCGCCGGCCAACGCTCGCCCAGACCGAGATGTGGGTCTACCAGAGGCAGAGGCCGAGGATATCCGCCGCCTGTTAGCTCTGTACGTCCAGAAACAAGAGGAGGTCTGCCGCGGTGCTATGAAGCTCCACGAAGGCCTTCTCAAGGCCAACCGGCTACGCAACACAGTTCTCGAGTGGTCCAAGTCGGAAGCGCACAGTGGTGCCAACCGGGATATGTCTGACGGCGAGGACTGGTACGACAAGGAGAAGTGGGGCCTCACGGAGGATCTCAAGAAGGGCCAGGACGACGAGGAAGAAGACACGGGCACCGTGGCCAAGAAGACTAGGAATCGCAGGTGAATGGGTGCCCGGGCGTTGTTGGCTTACTTTGAGGGATTATCTCCGGGTTATGGTGTTTGGCGGTTGACGTTGCAATTGATACCCCCCATGTTGCGAATTGGTCAAGGCGGCGCGCTGTTTTCTAGTCAGTTATATATATGCTGGATTCCTTGATGACACTTTTCAGTTCATGATTCTGTACTGCCTTCCCTTGCGCCTCAGAGTCTTTGGAGGATTGAATTGTGTTGGATGCGCTGGCAAAGGAGCTCGTTCTCTCGAGCTATCGCTTGCCGCGTCAAGGATCGGATAGCTGCGGCGGGGGCTGGAGGGTTCATTTACCCCAGCCCCGAAGACCGTCGAAACCCCGTGAAGAAAAGAAACCTAAGGCTACCTACCTTAAGAGCAAACGGTAAAGGTACCTCATAGTAGGTACGGAAAGGTACGTAGGTAACAGGATGAAAAGTACTTACCTAAGGACGTAAACCGTACCCTTGGACCCCCAGCGGTGCATTACTGGTACTGCGTTATGACGAGACGCTATGGCCAGGTGTCCCCGCTAACATAAATACCTGGGGTGGAGCGAGCTTCTGTCACAAGCCTGCGAGACTTCCCAACCCATCCTTCTCTTCTTCCTAAATAAGCTACTCTCTGTCCTCAACGGTTTTCTTCCTTTTGAGAGGAAAACTACTCGTTGCATTGCCTTGCAGATTTCTCTCGTTCTACAACAGCATTCCTCTCCATTGACATTGGTATTCGCCATGGCGCCCGTCCAGATTGACAACAAGGCCCTGGTCGACTTCAACCAGAAGAGCCTACTCAGTACGTCATGTCGTACCCGTGGAGCTTGGGCCCTTCCTTTCCTCTCGAGCTCCTCGTCGTCGCCTCTTTCCCCCCGCTGACCCAAATCGTTGCAAACAGTTTCTGCCGCTGCAATTGCCTTCAACCCGTTGTTCTGGAAGTAAGTTGCTTTCCTATGTTCGTCAGCGTGCCTCAGCCAAGTTGTGTGCTAACATCTGCGTAGCATCGTCGCAAGACAAGGTTCGTGAAGCCGCCACGGTCGTGTCCCAGTAGCCACCGTCTAACCTGCTTGGTTCCCAGAGTACAAGAACAAGATCCTCACCAAGCTCGCTGGTGGACGTTCGCAAGCTGCATGCTACGGTCTGGCTGCCACCATCTTTTCTCTCGGCATTTTCCGTGATCTTCTCTACGAACGGGCCCTGCGCTTCCAGCCAGCCCACCCACTTCTCGCGTCCGATGCGGTGACCTATGTCGGATACGCCCTCGTGGCATGTGGCAACGTTCTCGTTCTCTCTTCGACATGGCAGCTGGGTATTACCGGCACGTTTCTCGGTGACTACTTCGGCATTTTGATGGACAGCATCGTGACTGGCTTCCCCTTCAGCATTACCGACGCCCCGATGTACAATGGGTCCACCCTGAGCTTCCTTGGCGCCGCCCTCATCTACGGCAAGCCCGCCGGCATCCTGCTGACTGTCTGGGTCTTCATCGTTTACCAAATTGCCCTGCGCTATGAGAACCCCTTTACTGCTGGCATCTATGCCAAGAGAGACCGCGAACGTGCTGATGGCAAGGACACCAAGAAGATTAGGTGAATGCCAAAAGAGGCCCAGCTTCAACAGCACAAAACCCATCTCCACATCCCGTTCCGGATCGGGGCCGAGCGCAAGACCGGACGACAGGGGGTGTACGGAGCCACGCAGGTCCCCGCCGGGATACTGCGGTGATATGGGTCTCGGTGAGCCCGGTCAGTCCGGTGAGCTGACCGTCCCACACACACATCTTCCCGAAGGCGGCCGGCCGAGTCAAGCCCAAAACGGCCCGCCAAGGGAGAAGAGAGAGAGAGAGACCAAAAAAATGGACATCAGCCTTCAACAAAGTTCGGCTGTCGAACACCTATTACTTTAGTGATTCAGACCAGAGAAACTTCGCTTCTAGTCAGGCCAACCAGAAGATGCAATTTACATGACATGGTTAGGCGCCTCCGTTTACGCCACAGCTTCAACTTCTGCTTTTATCCACTCACAGACTTGAAATGGCAAGCCATGCCATAATCGTTGATTTCGCCATGTTGGTTAACATTAGCAAGTGCCCTCTCCCACCGGCTATTCCGAACGCGGACAAAAGGTCTCAGGAAGTCTGGTCCAGAAGCATTCTCCCAAGACTCGACTGACTGCTAGTGGCGGGCGCTTCGTGGAGCGCCCTTCTTTGCTCGTCCCGCCCCGTCCGCATTAGCCAAGAAAGACCCTCGCACATCTGGACCTGTTTCGAAGAGAAAACCCACTGCCCGGTTCCATTCCGTCTTTCTTGGGCGTCCCAGTAGCTCGGTCGGATGTTTCCCAGGGCTTGCTCTCATGACGATGTGGTGTCTCATACGGAGGCGCCGTAGGCCTTCGCGGAGACCGCATTCGGAATGTTTTCTGCCGTTTAGTGAGGATCTGGTAGTGTTTCCGGCTCCGTTTTCAGCATCGGCACCTATGGACGTGACAAAACTATGCTGTTTCCCGTTTTCCTCCTCAAACCGAGGAGTCTTTTGTTCCCCTTTCCCTCCCTCCCTTTGACGTTCTTGCAAAGGGTTCAACGCTGCCGCTCATAAGCGCTCCCATGGCAAGTTTTGACGAGTCTGCTTGTCAAGGTTACACATTGGCATCAATTCTAATCGTCCCCTTGGAATGTAGCATCGCGGACCAGATCAAAATCTGTCGTTGCTACCTGGGATACCATGAAGCCTACATGGCTGGATGAGCCCGTCGCTGAGCAAGGTGGCAGTTCCCGCCGATCCAGCGTCAGTCCTTTCACCGCCGACTACACCATCAGCCAAACTCTACACGGCCAGTCACACTCGGAGTCCAGGCGACTGAGTGACGTGCCACCGGATTTCATCAACCTCAATACCATTGCATCTTCGCAGGGCACGTCGGCCAGCACTGAGGGTTTTGCCCCGAATACGCTCAAGAAGCAGACGCGGATCGACGACGAGGGCCCGTTTTCGCTCCTTGAAGGACCGACACTTCCCTTGCCAGGCCATACCGTTCACAAGAGGGAGAAGAACTGGATCAACAGGCGATGGAGCGACCTCATCACATTTGGCAAGTTTGTGGGACCCGGGTTCATGATTGCCGTCGCATATAGTAGGTATCCTTGGAGCACGAGGTATTGAAAGTGCAGTCGAGACTGACCATCTGACTCAGTTGATCCCGGAAACTACGCCACTGATATCGCCGCCGGGGCTTCCTATCACTTTGACCTGCTGTTCATCGTTCTGCTGAGCAACATTGTTGCGATATTCCTCCAGGCGCTGTCTATCAAACTCGGAACCATCACAGGCCTCGACTTGGCGACCGCCTGCCGCGTCTTCCTCCCGAAATGGATGAACCTCACCGTCTACGCACTCGCCGAGATTGCCATTGTCGCGACGGATATGGCGGTCGTCATTGGAACTGCAACGGCTATACACCTGCTTATACCAAAGTTGCCGTTGATCGCCTGCGTCGTTCTCACCATTGTGGACGTTGTCTTCATCGTCGTCTTTTACCGCCCCGATGGTTCGATGCGCGGCCTACGGCTGTTTGAGATTGGCGTCTGTTTTCTTGTTTTGGGCGTCGTCGTTTGCTTCTGTATTCAGCTTTCGTTGATTGAGAACACGACCGTCGGTCAGGTGTTTCGCGGATACCTCCCGTCCAGCTCCATCATCCAGACTCAGGGGTATGTAGAGAAGGCCCTCCTGCGATCCAATGGTCGTGCTAACATGTACTGTGACAGATTATATCAGTCTTGTGGAATCTTGGGCGCAACAGTCATGCCTCACAGCCTCCACCTCGGCTCGGGCGTCGTCCAGTCCCGCCTCAAAGATTTTGACATGAAGGAGGGTAACCTCCAGGAACTCCCCCGCTCCGACACAATGACCACCGTCGACAGCTACAACAAGGTCTTTTACTTCCCCTCCATGGCCGCCATAAAGCACTGCATGAAGTTCTCCATCGCCGAGATCGTCTTCTCCCTCTTCATCTTTGCGCTCTTCGTCAACTCGGCCATTCTCATCGTGGCGGGTTCAGCGCTCTACCAGGGCCAGACGTCTCTCGCCTCTGACATCTTCGGCATGCACGACTTACTTGCCAACAGCATCTCCTCCGCCGCTGGAATCATCTTTGCCTTTGCCCTCCTTTTGTCAGGCGTATCCGCGGGCCTGGTATGCACCATCGCCGGCCAGCTCGTCAGCGAGGGAGCGCTCAACTGGCGCATGCGGCCCTGGCTCCGCCGCCTCGCGACGCGCCTCATAAGCGTCACGCCGACCGTCGTCGTCGTCGCCGTCGCGGGGCAGTCCGGGCTCAGCAACGCCTTGACGGGCACGCAGGTCGTGCTGAGCACCGTGTTGCCCGTCATCACGGCGCCGCTGATTTATTTCACGTCGTTTGACAAGTACATGACTGTCGTACCCGGCGCCGCGAGCTACGGGTCTGATACGGGCGTCGTGCCGGCGCGGCGGTTTAGTGCTGTTGGGGTGAAGATGGCGAATTCGTGGTGGGTTACGGTGCTTGCTGTTTTGCTTTGGTTGATGATTACTGTCATGGTTGTGGCGAATTTGGTGTTGTTGGTGTTGAATGCTCATAATTGAGCGTTTTTGGTTTTGCTTATGGGAGGAAACGGGGAAAGGTATACGCACATTTTGGACGTTTTGACGACTGATGACTTGATGACTTGCTTGTATATTCGATACTATCATGTACGTAATGTACGAGACGGTTGGAGTGGTGGTGGGAGTTAATAGGGGGACGTATAAAGGAGGTGAGCACAATTCTGACACGACAGACAATTTTCAACTTCACTTCTCTCGATTGTATCTTGTTTAAATGCCTCTGAGATTTTACTGTCTTTGGTTCAGCTCAGTTTTTCGTATGTTGCAGATTTACCAGGACTCACTATGTGTATTGCCTACTTACTTACATAAGGTACCGAACGCCGGCACAAGATGAGATGTGAATCGCGAATATTTGATCATCGACAACTGCCCCTGCCCGGGGAGACGTGGATATACTCGCATTTCGGTCCAACCCTTCCTAATTCTTACATGTCAAAGCAAGATGCGGAATGCCATGTGGGAGATGGCTACGTTGCCGGTCTTTGATGAGATTGTCGATGACAGAACCTCTTCTATCTAGAATAGACTGGAGATAGCCGCGTGGTTTTGGGACCCTTCATGATCCTCATCCATGGGAAGAAAATATGGGCGTCAAGGCGGGCTTTCTCTCCTGAGATCTTGGAATTGGATCGACTAGGCATATAGGCATGTAGATAGGAGCACGACTTGATAATTTCACTGAGTTTACCTAGTACAGTGAGCCTGCGAGCTTGATGTGTAGACAACGTCGGAAGAGAGCCAGGTCGTTTTTCCTACTTTTGGGCTTGGAGGCGTCATCTGATTAGGCCTAGGACTTAGCTACTTAACTGTGTAAGTTATATTGGCTTCAAGAAGGCATTCGCTTCCATGGGGTTATTATCTTACTGAGTACACTGGCTGTTGACAGGTCATGATCTTCTATGAGAACGACGGAGTCTTGCTCGCTAACTGCTTCTTGCGCGCTGCGCCTGCCACTCCCCCAAGGAGTCTATACACAGCTTGCTTCTGCGATCTGGGAGTTTACCGCCGGATGAATGTCACTATGGAGGCAAATAAGGTAGTCGGTCCTTGGCCAGGGAAACCATATCGGCGGGCGGAGACAGGCTAGATATTGATTGGAGGATCTAGCAAGGGCCGGCTTGCCAGCTCCCGAACGCTTCATGATTAATTTCTGCCACCCAGCCAAGAAACGAAAAACTTGAGATTTGTCTTTTACAACACCCGGAAGGAGCCTCTCTGAATTCTATCGTTTTCCCTCAAACTATTGACTGCGGCATACAAGGAACGAGATCCCCGACACACCTAGATCTACAACCTTTTGAACTTCCTTCTCTTCGCGGCTTGGATTTAGCGGCAGGCTGGCACACTGGGGAAGCGAGCAGCAGCACCACGGACGAAAAAAATAGCTGCCCCACTCTTCCATTTTTGACAGGGAACATAAGCGGCCAATCGAGCCTCCCCGTCATCGCAGCCCCTGCATTCCTAGCCGCAAAACGGCTTGGTTAGGCTCAATGGTCTAGAGGTATGATTCTCGCTTTGGGTTCTTGATTCCTTCAAGTCGTCTTCTGCGAGAGGCCCCGGGTTCGATCCCCGGTTGAGCCCCATTCTTTTGCTTTTTCTTTTTGGCCTTACCTATCTATCGACTCTTGTTCTCTTTTGTCGCATTTTGCACTCCTCACTTTTGTCGGTTTCGGTTCTGAGCCTGGTTTTTCGCCCTGAGGAAGTTGACGTCGTGGTGCATACAAATCATGCAGTAGGTGGTGGTGTGCAAAGGAGTGTGTGTGTGTGTGTGCGCGCCCACCCACGTGCCGACAGATGAGCCAGACTTTATTTCCAAACCTACGGAGTACTTGCATCTTAGCCGTGGAGTCTGCGTAGCAAAACGTTGAACCTGCTGTCAATGTGAGGATCAACAAGCGAGTCGAGATGAGCAACGTCGCAGCGGGACGAGGGAAAAGCAGGCAGGCTTGGCCAGGGCCCCCTAACGATCCATCCGCGCCAATTTCGAGCAATCTCGAAAAGCCCACCGGGCGAAATCGATTATTCGATCCAACGTTTGGTATTCAGTGGTTCGTACTGATTGTTGCTATTCCCGCTATTCTTTTTTGGGGGATAGCCATCCCGACAATAGATGGCAGAATGAATGGTGAACCAGACCACGTAGCGCCTAGGCTGATATGCCCTGGTCACCGGTGCGCTGGGTTGCCTCGATTGTGTTGGACCCTGGTCCTGAATCTGGCTTGAAGTGAAATGACGGCATTCCGTCAGATTTGATGTCTCTCTCTTTAACCCACGCACGCGACGCTAAGGTATCTCATAGACACACACACATGTTGGAAACCCCCCCCCCCCCCCCTCCCCTCATGTTAGATGCGTCTGGATGCCACCCTGCAGGGCAGAGCAGTCTGCCTGGTCTGCCTGGTGCAGTGAGTGGGATGGGACGAGATGCCTTGGCCAGGGCAGATGCGCAGGATATTGGGATACGGCAGCGGCGGCGGTAGCAGCAGATACGGCGGCAGGAGATGGGAATATTCTTGGCTTGCAGCTGCAAGTGAGCCAGCAAGCAGGCAAGTAACCGGCGGCCAGCCAGAGAGGCACAGAGGGCAGAGGGAGGATGGCAGATGGGGGGCAGAAAAGCAGGGTTTCAGCATCCCGTCGAGTGCCCATCCTGTTCATCAAACTCACAGCGGGAATCGATACGAACTGGCGTGCGAATCTCCGATGACGGATGAACTCTGAACTTTGGACTGTGGTCCGTTGGACTCTTTCCCGACTGATGCTTCGTTACGGAAGAGGGCTCGACAGTAGAGTGACTCTCTAGCCCCTACGCCATGAGATATGTTTATCTGTACAGACGTATGCCAGGGCAGTCTCTTCTTCGATGGACGGAGGGATCAAGCTCAGGTGTGTGGTGTGGTGGATAAGGTGCTCTCCACGAGTCTCTCCAGACTGGTGGACGGGACTTGACGAGTTCTCGCAGGCTAAGCTCAGATACGTACCGCCGCTACTGGCCCCGTGCATCTGTTAGTGGGAAGGCCGTGCAGCTGCCATCCCTACCACACTTCACTACCTCTTAGTACTGAGCCCAGACAAGAAAGAACCTTACAAGTTCCAGACAATGGAACCCGAGATGGCCAAAGATGTGGTTCTTCCTGATATTCCATTATCTCTACTACTCCAACAAGACGAGGAAGAACAAGGCGAACAAGACGAGAAGCAACACCACAGACTGGCGTTTGTTGGAACAAGAAGGACAGAGAAGACGTATGAGAAGTGACGAGGATCGTCAACAAGTACCTACAGATACAGGCCATGCCCCATTCCCCCGAATCCCCATTGATTGTCACTGCCTCAGCCAGGGAGGTCATGCAGCCCATTGGTTCCCACCTTGATCATTTTGCCTTTGGCTGGAAAGTCCCGGCATGGCATCCTGGGCTCTTCCCTTGGTTGCCCACCTCACCGCCGTCATGCCTCCAACTGCTTCTTAAGGTACTTTATACTGTACGGAGTACATACAGAGAGAGAGAGAGAGACTTATGCCAAGGCCAACGCGTGACTGCCATGCTGTGCTGTGCTGTGCTATGCTGTGCTGAGACGAGACCTGGAGACGAGACCCTTCCCTGAGGCCTGCGGTGGGCGTCTATCTGCACCGTCTATTTCCATCCTCTCTGAGAAATGGGAACACCCCCCGGCCCTTGGCCCTTTTTGCCCACCTCATCGTCGGTGGCCTCTTTTTGACTTTCTTGCTCTTTACATAGACCTGCCCTGACCCCGTCGTCGTCCCAACTACATCTCTCCAGCATCCATCGTCGCCGAGTATCGTAGCTCCATCGCCGCAATCGCTTACACACGTACATACATAGTACCTACACAACTACACCAGCTCTTACACACACACATCCTCTCTCGAAAATCAGCCATCATGCCTGGAGTTCGTAAGTCTGCCCGTTTCCCACCCTTCCCTAAGTTCTCCCCGGTCGTCCTACTGCGAAAGCTGCCAGAGAAGCTATCAGAGCTTCCCAAAGATACGCGACGACGCGACAAATATCTGAGTCAAAAGTGCCAAGAAAAATCACTAACATGCGATGCTTCCCAACTAGCCATCGACGCCCTGGACAACCTCAAGTCCAAGTTCAAGGCCATCTTCAAGAAGAAGGACGAGAAGAAGGCCGAGGCAAAGCCCGCCGAGGCCAAGCCTGCCGCGACGACCACCACGCCCGCTGCCACCGAGCCTACCAAGACTGAAGCTGCTCCCGCCGCTGCCCCGGCCAGTACGTTCCCTCCCCTCGCTTCTTCATGTTCGCGTGAACAACCTCTCGCCAGGTTGTCGCCTCAATAAGCTCTTACTGACTGACTACGAAACAGCTGAGCCCGCTGCTGCTCCTGCTCCTGCTCCTGCTGCCGCTGCTGAGCCGGCCAAGGCCCCCGAGCCCGAGGCTAAGAAGGAGGATGCTGCTCCTGCTACCACCGAGCCCGCCAAGGCTCCCGAGGCTGGTGAGTATCCCCAACTACGGAAAATTCACGAAGAAAAAAGAAGACTGACCCGATGCGCTTCGCACAGCTCCCGCTGCGCCCGCAGCTCCTGCCGTAGCCGCCGAGGCCCCCAAGGCCCCTGAGCCCGCCACCGCCCCCGCTCCCGCTGCTGCCCCTGCTGCTCCGGCCGCCACCGAGCCCGCGAAGACGGAGGAAACTCCCGCACCCACCGCCCCGGCCGCCGCTCCCGCTGCTGCTGAGACCGCGCCCGCGCCCGCTGCCGCCCCTGCTCCGGCCGCCGCCGCTCCCACCGAGGCCGCCAAGCCCGAGGAGAAGAAGGAGGCCGCTGCCACCGCCTAGATTGCGCCGTTGGATTTCGGCCCCAACGACTGGTTTCGGAATCACAGTGTCATCTGGTTGAAGAAGGACTAGACTCGACCAGAGGTCAAGGGGCTTGGGTCGGCAGAGGAGCAAGAGAGCAATTGATGCAAGCGATTCAGCCCCGTAGCGTCATCTCTCGAACCGCTGTCTCCACGACGATGACGAAGCCACTCCAGTCACAAGGGGAGAATAAGCGGCACATACATGCAATTGGGGGTTTAGATGGTTTTCTTGCTTTCAGACCGTTGGTCTACTCATGTTCATTTGCTTAATTGTCGGATACCCATTAGTCGAGAAGTTGAATCAAGCGTACTTTCTTAAACTGACATGATCTTTGTCTTTTCTTCTCGTCCGCGGGCTGCTGTCTCCAGACGCTATAGACACACCGGAGCAACGAAAGCGACGTATCTACAAGTTGTATCTCCAGGCTATGCAGATACCATTGGTCTCGTTTGACCACTTCCCGGCTCACGTCTTGGCCCTTTGGCTTTTTTCAGGTTCCATCTCCACCCATGCCTTCAAACTAACCTCTGCTTAGCTTGAGCTACAATCAGTCGGGGTATCTATTCCACATAATAACTCATGACATCCTCCGTGTTCCTTTCCACTCTCGTCACTTTGCCCACGGCGCCTTGGTCAACGCAACCTGCGCATCAGCCGTGCCCTGCCTCGCCTGCTGCGCGCCAGGAGGCATGGCCATCATACCTGGCGGCGGCCCCCTCGCCGAAGCCGCGGATGACGGTGGCGGCGGCGGCTGTCGCGAGTAGGGTATTCCCGCGCCACCAGGGGGAGGAGGGGGTATGCGACCTATCGGAACAGCACCAGCACCAGCGCCACCTGCTGTCGCCCACGGCGCGGCCGTGCCTGCGCCGGCTTGGGGTGGGGGAGGCGCCGTTGTTGCTGGGTAGTTGTACGAGGGCTGGTTCGCGGCGTGGACGGACTGTGATACGGGCGCGGCGTTGGGGTCTTGGTCCCAGGAGAAGAGGGAGCCGAACGTGAAGTGCTGGACGACGGGGAACTTTTGGAGGACTTCCGCGTTGAACATTTTGAGCATGCCCTGGGAGGGATGTCAGTTATTACCCTACACTGGTACGAGAAGAACGTGGGCTTCACCTTATTGATCTTGCCCCAGCCGTCCTTGACGCCAGACACGTCAAAGAGGATGGGACTGTGTTCCCAAAACGGACCCTTCTTCACGTCGTTGATGAATCCGACGGCGGAGAAGTACATGTTCTCGGAGCGCTGGTCCCCGACGACGGCGGGCTTGACAATGTCCCCCGTCTTGGGCGCGCCGCGGACGGAGCCCTCCGTCGGCATCGGGTCCGAGTCCGCGGACACGGGCGCCGCGAGCTGGGCGGAGCCGAAGATGTAGGGGAGGAAGGAGTGGTCGTCGAGGCCCCATACGCCGTGGGATCCTGCTGGCTCGAGGGTGTATGTGAGGATGAGGCGGCGGACCACGCGGAGGTAGGGTTCGATTACGCCGAGGACGATGGTGCGGTCTAGGGCGGATGTGTCTGGTGCTGCTGCGGCTGCGGTAGTGGGTTGGCCATTTTCTGAGGCGGCGATGGTGTTGTTAGTGGTGGTGGTGGCGGCGGTGTCGTCGGCGAAGTAGGAGAGTTTGTAGAGGGAGCCGAGGAAGGCGAGGAAGGCGAGCTCGTGGCCCGTTCCGTAGTCCAGGCGCTGCGCGGAGCCAAAGGAGCCGAGGAGGTACGCCAGGAGCTCGGCGGCGGGCGGCTCGGAGGACGGCGTCGCGGGGAAAGCGAGGACGGGGTCGGGGATGTGTTTGGACAGCAGGGCGGGGGCGCGTTCGGCGAGGAGCTCGTGCCACTTGCGGAAGGAGACGTTGCCGAAGCGGCGGGGGCCCGGGTCCGGGGGCGCGAGGTCGATGAGGGCTTCGGCTTCGGCGAGGAGGGCCTGGAGGCGGGCTATGGAGGGCGGGAGGCCGCGTTCGGGTGTGGAGGGGACGGAGGAGAGCGGGTAGGTTGTGGAGGGGCCCGTTGGGCGGGTTGGGTTGCGGCGCGGGCAGAGGGAGCGGTTGAGCTGGAGGAGGAAGAGGAGGATGTCGCGGTAGGCTGTTGTTGTGAGAAAGGTTGCGAGGTCGGTGCCGGTGTTGATGCGCTTGGTGGGGGTTTGAAAGGTGCGCGGGGTCTTTGGGAGGGGTGTGATGGCGGGGAAGGATGGTTTCTCGGGTGGTTTTGTTGATGAGGTTGATGGTGATGGTTTTGGAGGATCCATTTTGGTTTGCTTGTGTGTGTGTACTCGTGGGTTGGGACGAAAGGGGTTGAGATTTTGGGTTGGATGTGGTTGTGTGAGGTTCTGCTCGCTGTGACTGTGGATGATAGCTTGGAGCTCTAAGCGCAACGTCCCGATGTTTGAGATGATGGAGGGGTGAACATTGTGGAGTGACGACAGAGTGTGCCTTAGTCAGCGGCCATGACTACAGCGTACAGGGTCTACGAACAATTAAAGATTCTCTCCCGCTTCAAGCTTATTTTCTCCCGAATTCCTGATAGAACTTTCTCCAAAACACACCGAATTGACTTTTGGCTCGAAGCAGACTTTTGGACGTGTCAAACGGACTCACACTTTCTACTACTTGTGCGAGACCGAGACGAGACCGAGAGTATGTATCAAATTGTATTAATTACGTCTATGCTTAGGTTCTATCCAAACCTCGGTCTGTCTGAGCGCCGTCTATGGCCTCCCTATTATGAACTGTATGTACCTCTGGTTGAGCTCTTGGTAAAGGTGTGAAAGAAAAGGTAAAAGTCTGATGACAAGAAGGACTCGGAAATGACTCAATGGCCCTCGTTTCGAAGAGGCCATCTATTAGATCAAAGGCCGCGCGGCCCTGAAGTTGGTGGTGCGCCAAGGTTGAATGGTTTGCAAGTGCAAGTCTCCCTGGGTCGAGGTTGACGGTGTTCTCGGTAGGATGGGCTCCAACCTTCTTTCTCGTTTCCTCTATTTTAGTTTGTCGCTCACAAACTGTTTAATCTGGTCGCCGTAGATGCTGGGATACTGTAGATGAGCAACGGGATCATTGCCGTTGCAGCAAAACGGGTCTGCTGAATCACAGAATGACTTGATGTTGCCTCCGTTCGGGCATTGAAACCCCTGAGGTCGTGGTGCAAACTGGTGTGCGTTAGTAGCTGCTTCTTCTCTTTTGTATATTTCTTCCACCACCTTACCCCTTGCGTTTTGCATGTGCCAACCTCGTAAGGAAGGCCAGCGACGTAACGTGGGTCACCCATGAAGATGGCGACTTTCACCGCGCCGAGTGCCTCATTGGAGATGAGAACATTGACGTCCTTGACCCCTTCAATGCTGTCTCCACCACCGCAGTACGCGTTGTCCATGATTTGAGCACCCTGATTTCCATCAGTCAGATCTGTCTTTGCTAATGCAATGCCAACATGCAAGACATACCTGAGAGAACCCCAGCATGACAATCTTCGTCTTGGGGCACTTCTTGTTGAAGTCGTTCACGGCCGTGGCAACAGCCGCCGTCCCATTCTTCACCGAGTCCGCGTAGCTGATTCCCAAACAGTCTGACGACCCTCCACATGCGGGATAGTTGATGGCCTCGTTCGTGGCCCCTTGATTTGCCTTGGTGAGGTCGTCGACGATGCCAGCCGCGGCACCAAAACCCGGCGGTGCCGTAGTCTCTCGCGCTCCAAATATATGAATTGGTGGGCAGTCTTTCTTGCCTTGTCTTTGCTGGAGTTGCTGAAGCGAGTGAGGTGAGGCCATAGCCTGGCCGAGAAGGAACGCAATTCCCACACTGAAACGCATCTTGGGCGACGGCGCCGTTCGTCGATAGGAGCTCGTGAAGAATCGACCTGAAGGACAATCGACATTAAATCAGTCTTGTTGCAAAGACAACTAGCTGGCATATGAAGAGGGGTTCTGAAAGCGAAAGTACAAAGTCAAAAAGAAGAAACCATGATAACAAATGCAAGCCTCGCCGAATGAAAAATTGCCGACCCCGTTTGAACTTTTCTTTAACTCTGAAATGTCAGAAAAAGCCAAAAACCTGCTTTGTAGTTGTAGATTGCTTGATCGAGTAGACCGTTGCTTCCGGCAACAAGATTTATTTGCCTCGTGTCCGGGACGGGAAGAACCTACCTATTGCCCGGCACCTCGACACCCACACCGGCAAGGACGGCCTCATTCTTCCTTGCGCTTCCCATCACAGTTTTGGCGCGTCTGGCCAAGAATCGAGTAGGGACGAAACGGATGCGGTCGCCACCATAAGTCCATGGCCAAAAGAAGCTCCGACACTACATGACGGCATGAAGCTCTAGCTCCGGGAAGCTGAGGGCGGGAACGGGACATGTCGCAGCTTTTCAGACGAAAATAAAAGGCTGTGGGCCTGTGGCTTCCAGTTGCTGAGCCGCATCATGCACGATCGGCACGATTGTTTCCAACTGTTGCCAGGTAGATAGAAGAGACCACTTCAGCTGAAAAAGACCGATGAACGAGTGAGAGCTGCAGAAGGAGATCAGCGTCCGATAGGTTATGGGTGAAACGCAGTGGACTTGGATAGCGATCTGGGTTGGAACACGTCGATGTTTGACATGGACCTCCATGCTCGACGAGTCTGTGTGTTGTTTAAAGAGAGTAAGCTCCCATCTCGGGTACGCTTCGAAGTGGTGTGAGGGTAAGGGTTGCCTCTGCCATGATGCTGGCTTCTTTCGCCTCGTCGGACTACCTTGAACTCATCCGCGAACCTATCACGAAAGCCAAATCTCGAGGAGCCCATGTCAGACCATTGCCTTTGGGCCAGACTCAATGACACTTTGCATTGAAGAGATTCCAAGGTCATAGATAGGGATTGATGAGAAACCTGTTCATGATGCTAAGTGTTGCACTTGCAAGCCTAGTTCTCGTCAAAAACTGTGTTGATGACGTCTTGGCGGAGAATTCGCTCCTGGAAGTCGTACTCGGCTCTAGAAATTTGTCCAATTCGGTAACCATCGGACTAACATGTCCTGCTGCGTTGTAGAAAGGAGTGAAGACATCTCGATCAAAACTTTGAACAAGGTGCCCAATACGGAAGGGATGAGCTATCGTCGGAGAGGAGACCGAGTCAAGTACAAGGAAGGGTGAACATGTGAACCCCAGCGGTGGACGCAGCCCTCCTACAAGATAAGGGCCTCAGAAACCGCATTCGAATGCTGTGGTCATCGGGTTGCTTGTGCATACTGTCGTGAGCACAATCCTTCGAGTTGGTGTTGAACATGCTGACTTAGGAAACGTGAATGTCTCCGTCCAGGGCAGTGTCGAATTGAGGGACCCTTCTTGCTGACTCAGCCGGAAGGAGGGGCCATCGCCGGCCCCGCCTGCGGGCACTAGCAACATGATCCCTGCTCGGAACACGCTCTGGTCGGAAGGCATTAGGAGCGCGTTCCTGTCGCGATACTTCGTCGGTAGCTGCTTCATCCGCGTCATTGGACGAACGACGGATCGTCGACAATGAGACGCCAAGAGCACTGAATATCAATCGCGGTCACGTCGCCTTGCTTGAGAGAACATTCCTCAAGTCGACCTCCTACCTAGGACACAACCGTATCCCCGGTCGAAAGACGGCGATGCCGGCAGCCACCAGGAAACGATCTGTTCGGCCGGCGAAGAGCCAAGCTGCGGGAGATAGCGAGAGGGCCATACCGACCAGCAGCATTGATAAGGTTCCGGCGGGAACCCGGCGCAGCAAACGTCTCGGTCACGTTGATGTGGAGGACATTAGGGATTTTGAGGCTATACGAATGAAGAGAAGACGAAGAAGTCAGAAGGATGCGGAGGAAGAAGATCAGGTGGACGTAGATCAAGGCAGCGTCGAAAAAGATGGCCAAGGAGAACGAGATGAACAGACAACAGAAGATGGTCCAGACGAGGAAGATGAAGAAGTAACAGACGACCAAAGCGAAGGTGCAGCTCTGCCATTGGTAGCGGAGGCACCGATGGAAGCACAAGTAAGCTCAAGCCATTCCAAATTACTTCAAATAGCTTACAATTTGATCCTGCAGATTGCCAAAAAACGAGGACGGCCGAGAAAGATACGTGAGGATCTCCGGGTAGATACATTGCGTAGGGAAGCAACGAATACCCATCGTACGAACGCAAGCCGTGCCGGAAAGGGGCAGATAACTCAAGAGTCCAGTCGACTCTCGAGAACGAAAGCGACGAAACAAAGTGAAGGCTTTCTGAATGCCGACGCTTCTCAAGCGACGCCAGACCCAGATAACGAGGACGAACCTGCCGCTGCTGCAGGCCTCAGAGCGGATATCTATGAGTTTGCGAGTAGCCCACCTAGAGGGTCTGCCGTCGCAGTCGACCTTTCAATATCATCATACGAAGAGGACGAATCGTCCGATTCGCGATCTGATTCACAAGACCCAGACAATGGGGATGGACTGTCTGTCGAGCGCGAGACTCAGAACACAGACGGGGAGGGCGCAGAGCAAGGCTTGGCGCAAGGCTCAGAAGAAGGCGACGGGGATGGTGATGATGATGAGCAACTCTACAACGATCCAACTATGGCTGAGTTGCCGCCGTCTGCACAAGTAAGGGGGGATGATGCCTATCCAGGGGATACCGACTCCCAAATGGAGCCACATCCAATAGAGCCAACGCAGCAGCTTCGACGTTTGGTTGATGATATGGACCCTTTGACTCCTGACCTCTTTCCGGAGGTCGATTACGAGTACCCGGACGATCATTTCATCTTTCACAAGCCCGAAGAACAAGACCGACTGACCGCGGCGGCAGTCAAATCACCGTCATTGAAGAGCATCAAGGAGTTGATGAATGGGGTGGGTTGGATGCGCTCCAAAGACGGAAGAGCAGTTGACCTCACAACCGGGCCGGCGCAACTCTCGCAGAGAACTCAGCCTCTCTGGGACCGAATTCACCTACTCAACGATTTCTGGGAAGGAGCACCTCGTGCGCCCCTCTTCAGTAAACAATGCGACTATTTGCATTCGAGCGATGCAGATGCGGTCGATGCCAGGCACACCTTCAAGGAAGTCGACACACTTGTTTATAGGATAGCCACGAAAGCGAAGAAGCCCAGCCCCGGCGATGAATCTGACATGCCGGCGCCACGTTTCGTTAGGGAGCTGTACGAAAGTGTCATTCCTTTGCTTGTGGTCACGCTTGGAAACGTATTCCAAAAGGGTACTGAGCACAATACATCACATTACACCGGGTCGTTCACGAAAACGATGTTGCAAATTATGCACAGACTGGTTGCTTGGATTGAGAAGCTATACTATGGCATGCTCTCAAACCTTGCGAGGAGGAGGCAGAAGGAGCAATTACTATCCAAGAAGCTCAGTCGAGGGAAGCTGGCCGACTATTTACGAGGCTTCAAGCGAGAGCTGGATGTGACTTGGACCAAGGTCAATCACACGATTCAGCGGCAACGACTTTACGAACAGCGGTTCGTTGAGAAGAAACAGAAGGAAAAGCGAGAGCGGCACGAATACGAAGAGACCAGACGACGACAACGGGAGTTTTGCGATAGACGACTGGAAGAGCGGATTGCAGCCGAGAAAGCACGCAGAATGGCAGGCTCCCCGCAACAGAGTCAACAAAGCAGGTACGAGAGACAGCAGGCTGGACCAGTGAATCGTCATCTACATACTACGCGAGGATCGGTGGACGTTGAGCCCTTTGCCTGGCCTGAAGCAGATGCCAAGTGGCTTCTACAGACGTTGTCCGCAAGACCAGACTCTGGTACTCAAGCGCTCGCAATGATGCTCAAACGCGACGAAGGCGATGTCATAGCTATGATCAGCTTGCTTAAGCAAAGCGCCAGGGCACACGCAGCATCGAGAGGCAAGGAGGTTCCGGCATTTGCAGCAACTTGAGCTGAGAAGTGCCGACTTGTTGAGATACACTAGCTGCGAGTTTATTGTCTTTTGAGGATACCCACACATTCCTAGCGAGCGTCCCAATATCATCATTCCGGGCATATGAGAAAGCCTCGATTTATCAAGTTCAATCATGTCTGCGCGCAGGGTTTCGCCTACTACCTCACCTCACGCGTAATCAGCGGTGATGACTCGCAATCAGCGTTTCGGATGATTCCAATTATTACCAAACCGTTTCCTCTATGCGGTTGCAGTTAGCGAAGAGCATGAATCATGCCCCAATCACCGGTCAGAACAGCAGCAATTTTGACACGAAGGCTCTGCTGGAAGATTTGACCATGGAGAGACGATATCACGATACGACGTCAAAGTGACGCCGTGAGGTTGTGTCTTCTTAGCACGGAGTTAGAAAGGGCTATAGCAGGATCCGGAAACGGCATAGGTGAGCGGCCACAGTGTAGTCTGTGTAGTGTCGATTCCCTCTTCTTCCCACGTGGGCACCTCCGATCCGATCCCACCTGTTCGTGTCATTGGGCTGGGGGGCCGGGCAAAGGAAACGGACGGCCGGCGCAAGGGGGCGTGGGAAACAATCGCCATAATCTACACAGTGAGGAGCAGGAGACGGGATTGAGAAGGAGAGGAAATGCGCCCATAGCTCCTGAACCTCTGGAACCTCCTCCTCAGGCTCCTCTGGTTGCGGCGGCCGCCAGAACACGCGCAAAAACATCTGCCGAAGATTTTGGCTTCGGGGGGGCTGATAAGCCACGTAAGGCGACGCCGTGACACTGGGGCCCGTTGGTTGGGGCTTTTGGGAGGATGGGGGCACGACTGGGGTGCGCTGGCCGTGGGGCCTTCGGCAGATGGTTTTTGGGAGGAGGATTTGAAAGAGCGGGAGATGGAGGATGAGGGTTGGTCCCTGGAAGGGTTTGCCGATGTCTCACTGAGAAGTAATTGTCAACTGCAGACAGCCTTCTCGGTCTCTCTTCCTCGTATAGTGAGATTAGACATTGAGAGATGTGTCTGGTTTCGATTCGGAGAGCGAGAAATCGCTTGACTTACTTGGAGCGAGTGAGAGTAACGAGCTGGAGTTAAAAAAAAAAAACAAGGGAATAGTTCAGCTCGCTAACATCCAAGAGACATTCCTCATTCATGAGCCCTTGAACTAGGAGATTCGAATTCCTTGACACTAGAGACACTATGGAATACATGATCTGTTTTACTATGAACCGCCGAACCGGCGACTTTCCCTCGCGAACGATGGCATAGGCCACTGGGGTAGCATTTAGGGCGGCGCGACGGCGCACAAGCGTGCGGTTCTTTCGGCCTTCGACACGTGAGATGGAAGGTTGGTCTACTGTGCTAACACGGTAGGGGAAGTTGGATCCAGACGACGGCCCTATTTTTGGCTTTTGGGCTTTAGAGCGATCAACAGAGCTGGCCGGATCATTTGCCGAGGAAAACTGAATCTCGAGGCTACTTGTTTTAGAACCGGGTTGAGTCACTGGTTAGTGTACAGTATTGAGGCCTGTAGTTAGTGTTTCTAACTTCTGTTCCAGCTTCAGTCTGACAGTCTAGAACTGGGCGGTAAAACAGTCCAACTCTGGGTTGGTTTTCCACTCTTTGGTGTAACAAGTATCTTCACTCGGTGTGATGTAAATATGCACTGTTTGTGGTGTTTTGTACCATTTTGGAGTTCTTTCGCCGGGTCGTTCCTGACTGGAAACGCCTCAAATCTGCACAAACGGGCAAGAACTTTCTTTTTGCGACACTGTTCGAAGAAGCAACAAGACGTCAAGCTCATGTGCTGTAACCCAACCACATCTCAGATACCTAATACAATATGCCATCCCTCGGCTACTATGCCTTTATGGTACCTAATCCTTGCGGCGGTAAGGCGTCACTGGGCGATGCATGTGCGGGGAACCCTTGAGTTGTCAGTGAAGCCAGGTGTCCGGGGCGGGAGCGGGTATGCGGCACGTGGTTGGGGGAGGAGGTTCCAGAACTGCTGGATGAGTACAGGAGACTCCGACGAGAGGGCCGATGAGAGGGCCGAGAGAAGCCGGGCTATTCGGGGGGCGGAGGATTAATGGGCGCCGAGGCCGAAGCTTGGAGAAAGGCTCATACGCGTACGAAGATCGCAACTGTGCCGTTCGCTTCGCTAGGGAGTGTCCATACGAGCATGTCGTTTCCACAAGCTCGTGCTTGTGAAGGCTCCGTGTCTGCGGTGAAAACAAGGTATCATGGCATGAAGGGGAGGGTCCGGCGCCTGTCTCTCCCTCCTTTCGGGGCCGAAAGCGTTTGACCGTCGCCCCGGCACCAATCACGTCTCATTCCAAGCGACGCTGCGTCAGGGACCAAGAAGGCTACTGCGTTGGTAGGGAAGGGGTTCTCCATGGATCAACCCCATACGTGGAGCCCTGTGATGTCTTGGACTACGGGAGTTGGGATGGACTCCGGGCCAGAAAGTCGGCAAATGAAAGTCGGATCGAAGTCGAGCTTGGATGTCTCTGATTGCTATGGAATTATGAGTTCATGATCAGTAATGGAGTCAAACATTTCTTGTTCTTTCGCCCGTCTCGGCGATGTCGGCGAGCCAAAGGAGTGAGACACGTTGACAAAGGGGACTGGACATATTTCCTATGTATGGATAGCAGGAATGGGTCGGTATCATGGCCTGGTAGGCCGAGGATTTGTGAACAAAGGACTTCTAATTAGGGAGAGTATGGCTCTACTGTATTTGCTTGAGGCTGTCCAGACCCAAAACAAGACCAAGATCGAGACCATGGGTTCTTGAAACAGCAGCCATGAGTGAGACCGAGAATGAGAGTGAGAGTGAGACTCACAGTGAAAGAGAGAGAGGGAGAGAGTCTGACAGAGCAAGTGAGCGCATTTACAACTGCCGTGCCCCCCACCAGATGCCTTGGCCATGTCATGCCTGTTTCCAGCATCCTACGGGGCCCCTCCCCCGCAGATAAGGTACCCCAACGGTGGGTCGGCGCGCCGCCCGATGTCTTGAGAGTTGCGCAGCTTACCGCCGACAGAATGCTGCAACTTGCAGCTGACGGGATGCCTTGAGGAGTGCTCCGGAGCCTGGAGCACTGAGCAGTCGGTCGAGCAATTGACCACTCCGTAGAGCATCGAAAGCAGACATGGGGGAGGCGGCTCCATCTTCCCGTTTCTGCATAGCTCTCTTCTGCACCTCTTCCGCCTCCGACGTGCCTTGTCTCTCGAGTCTCGCGGGGTTCGTTCTGATGCGGCAGTAATGCGTCTGGATATCATACGAGTCCAGCCAAGCCTCGGATAACCCGAATCAGCGCTCTCTGTTCTCGATCAGGATCGTATCCTCGGGGCCAACGCTTTCAGTGAGCAGTAAGGTACGGTTAGGCGAGTGCCCGCACTTGGGACGAGGGCCCTCGAGTTCTCGACAGAAATATGAGAAATGCATCTGCCGAAGATTCCATCACTCATGACTAACCTTCAGCATCCTGACCAAGGTGTCCACCACCCCTCCATCACCTCCATCTGGGCTGGGGGGGGGGGGGGGTGCTTTGGCGGTAACTCTTCCTCGCAGACCTCATTCTGTCTTGTGGGTGTCCGTGTCCTTGCCAACACGAGCGTTGACGTTGAGGCTGCTTCGGCAGGCAATCGAGCCCCTCATTCCAGCTCTGGTTGACAAGCTGATCTGTCTCGCTGCGAGTGCGACCCCCCGGTGGAGGAGGACCATGATGGCGCAACATGAATGATGACAATGACAGCGACGACCTGCCGTGACTCGTTGCTCAGAGCATCATCCGGCTCGGTCCCTTCGGCAGCGGTCACACACACACTCTCTCTCTCACCATAGGCACCAAAGACGACGGACGGCGGGCTTGAACTAGGGTCCCTCACCCCTACAGGCTACAGCCTACAGGCTCCTACCCCAGGATCTCTCATGACTTGGCTGGAAATCCCTCGCGCGCCAAGTGGGAGCTGGACATGCTGTACCACTCACACCAGAACATCCCGCCGGTGTCATTCTGCGAGCCTCTGAGTGGCCACCGCAAGCTGCGGTACCTGAGACCCGAGCTAGCGTCGAAGAGCTTGCTGCGTAAGGTGTGGCATTCCATTTGCTCTCGTCTTCTCTCTTTCCCAGGACATGACGTTGGGGGCTCCCACCTGTACAAAGTACCCCGTCCGCGTATCTTGAAGTCTGAAGTCTTGATTTCCTCTGGTCGTCTGGGGGCGATTCGATGGGCTGCTTCTTTCCGTCTAACCTCTAGTATACGGCCACGGCTACGGCTCTGGAAACAGACGCCGGCGCCTTTGGGGCCACACTCTCTGCTGATGTTTGCCTCCCTCTTGGACTTGTCACACTGTCCGACTTCTGCTCTCTTGTTGGACCGGACGACTCGCTCCATCTTCAAACGACCAGCCAACGACCCGTCTACCGAGCTACTGTTTAGCACACGATTCTAGTACACCACGATTAGTGATGAGTGTAATCGTCAACGTCTTCGTCTTCCGAAATCGCGTGGCCTTGAACGCCGGACGATTGGTACAGTCCTAGTCCTGGTCACCCCGAACGGCACCTCTCGGCGTCGACTATCCTCACTCATCTTCGTGTTCTTCCAGCCTCTTCCGTGTGGCTTTATCTTGCAACAGCGAGTCTGTGACACCTTTCCCTCTCTCGCCGCCGCCTCACCCTTCGGCACGGCGCCTACCATTACCGCCTTCTTGTCTCCCCCGAGTTCCTAGGTTCTCTCCAATTTTTCCACATTTTTTCCACTTCGGATCCGCCAGTCCCCCAACCCATATCCCAGAAGCGCAAACACCCTTGCGAAATTCTAACTTTATTCTGTTCCCGCCCTCTTGTCTTGTCTTGTCTCATCTCGCACGAGACTCTGCGCCGAATGTCCAACGCTCTTCCCCTCGGCCGTGGAGACTAAGGTATTCATAGTCAGACACTAGGTATCCGTAGGCAGAGGATACCTCGTCAAGGGTTGGAAACCTTCTCAAGCTCCTAGCCATCCTCCTAGGCTCTTCTCAGTTGCCCCCATTCCCTTCCCCCCTCCACTTACTACTCTCCGAGCTTCGTCCTACCTTGCAGTTACGCGGTGCCGTCTCGTCTTGGCTACATTACTGGCGGTGCCCATAGATCGCCGAGAGGTTCCCAATAATTTACTTGCCGACCTGCCGCCCCAAAACCAGACACACACACACACACACATAACACGAAAAAGCTAAGCGCATCTGCCATCTCGACGTGACGCCTGTTCCTCCTTGACTCCACCCCGCCGAGGCACAGTCCGCAGGACCTGCACGTCGACCATACGGCATGCCCCCTCGCATACCTCTTCCTGTAAGCCCCATAGGATCCGGTCGACACATCCCAACATAGAAACAGGGTAAATTGCACTTCGGTACCTGAATCGGGAATTCCATTTCACGCCCGGCTACATCAACTTGGATCCACCCGCTTGGAGGTTTACCTTACAGTCTTCTTATACCGAGGGTGCCGCCACCAAGACCTTTCTCGCTGCGTTTTGTTATACTCAACGGCCAAGCTCCGTCTCATGACAACACAACCTCAGTCAAGATGCACGGCATTACAGAAACGATACTAGAGACTTTCGCACAGCACTGGCTCTCAATAGGCCTGTCACTTATTGTAGCCTGGCTGGTGAAGAACCGCTATAACAATGGCCTCAACAAGTACCCAGGACCCTTCCTGGCCTCATTAACAGACTGGTGGCGCTTCTTCGATGTAAAGGGCTGCCGTCCAGAGGTTACACATCAAAAGTTGCACGCAAAATATGGTGACGTCGTCCGTCTCGGCCCCAACACTCTCTCCTTTGCCGACCCAGCTGCTTTGAAGAGCATCTACGGCCTGAACAAGGGCTTCGTAAAGGTAGAGTCCATATGGTTATCTTCACAACATATACAGCAACTAACCGTCTAAGTCCGACTTTTATATCGTCCAACAGTCTATTGCCAAGGGCTTCAGGCTCGAGTCCCTTTTTAGCACGACAAACAATGACTTCCACTCTCAGTTCCGTCGTTGCGTCAACTCGGCCTTCTCCATGTCCGCCTTGGTCCAGTATGAGCCCTTTGTCGACAACACGACGAAGCTCTTCCTCTCTCAGACGGAGAAGCTGTTTGCTGGAAACCCCGAGGGATGTGACTTCACCACGTGGTTGCAGTTCTACGCATTCGACGTCATTGGAGAGATCACCTACAGCAAGCGCCACGGCTTCATCGAGAAGAATGAGGACATTGATGGAATTGTGGCCTACCTGGGCAAGCTGTTCCTCTATGTCGCACCGGTAAGTCCATCCAGAGTATCACTGGAGCTACTCCAAGACAACTAGCTAACATGTCCGAAGATTGGCCAAATCCCCTTCCTCGATCTCCTGCTCCTTAAGAACCCAATCTACCTGAAGCTCTCCCAATGGGGCTTCATCGACGCCACCTTCCCCGTAGCCCGCTTCGCCCGCGACCGCATGGCCGAGCGCCTCCCCGAGCTCGACGGCAAGGAACCCCTCCTCCCCGTCACCTCGGGCAAGAAGCTCGCCGAGCAGCCCGACCTCCTCTCCAAGTTCCTGGCCGCGCGCGAGGCCCGCCCCGAGTTCATGTCCGACATCCTCGTCCAGACCATGGCCGTCAGCATGGCCTTTGCCGGCTCCGAGACCACCGCCATCAGCCTGGCTGCCGTCTTCTACTACCTTCTCCGGACCCCGACGGCGCTGACGCGGTTGAGGGACGAGCTGGATACGTTTGCGCGGGAGGGCGGCTTCAGTGATAACGAGACGGGACTGGTGACGTGGACTGAGGCCCAGAAGCTCGTGTATCTCGATGCATGTGTCAAGGAGGCCTTCCGCATGCACCCGGCCGCCGGTCTGCCGCTGGAGCGCATCGTCCCTGACCAGGGCGCCGAGATTGCGGGCCACTTTGTCAAGGGCGGCACGATTGTGGGCTGCAGCGCGTGGATTATTCACCGCCGACCAGAGATTTGGGGTGAGGATGTCGATACCTACCGCCCGGAGCGTTGGTTGCCGGAGGAGGGCAAGGATGCCGCGGCGGAGGAGAAGAGGATCAAGGAGATGAACGGGCACATGTTCCAGTTTGGCATGGGCAGCCGGACGTGTATCGGAAAGAACATTAGTCTGTTGGAGATTTACAAGGTCATTCCGAGCTTGCTCAGGAGATTCGACGTAAGTTTGCAACACTTTGCTGTTGTAAAGAGAGGACTGCCGATACTGACAATGACTAGATTTCCTTCAAGGACCCGAGCCAAGAGTGGGAGCTGGTCAACGCGTGGTTCGTCAAGCAGAACAACTTCCAGGCCAAGTTTTCCAGGAGGGATATCATTACCAAAGACAGTACCAACGAGAAGGTTGAGTCATAGAGACTACGTGAGGTGTTGTTGTAGATGGACCATGGTTGTTGACGAGATTGACGACGTGGATGAACACTATAGAAGTAAAGATATCAAAAACCAAAAAAAAAAATCAGAAATTGTTTATACCATATTATTTCTGACATGCACCTATATCTGCATCATTTCGTGAGTTTTTTTTACAGGATGTATTTCGGCAACAGGTCTTGTTCTACTGAGAACAAGCAGCGGAGACCTAACCCAACTCCCTTCTTCCACGTCTTTATATACACCATTTCGTATCCGATAGGCCCCTTCTCCTTTTAGGTAAATGCAATCTTCGAACAGGATATCTTTCGGCAACAGGTATATATGCATCCATCTCGACGCCCAAGCAAAAAAGAAGAAAAACAAACACCATTAACAAGAAGAAAAGAGAGTCTGAGAACCGGGCTCACTCAAGCCCACTCAAACTCATTCTTCAACCCTTCAACTCCACTCTCATCCTCGGTATCCAAGTACCCCGCGATCCGCCCCTTGGGATCCCACACCCTGCGCACGTCCATCAGCCTCTTGCCCTGCTCGTCGCCCCAGAACTTTGTCCTGCGGTACCGGAAGTCGGCGTCACCGAGATACGAGCCCGACGCGTGCCTCTCGACGCCGGCCATGATGTCGCTCACCCAGCCCTGGCACCGCTCGTCGTCCTCGGCGTCCGGGTAGACTGTGTAGAGGGCGAAGTAGTGGTCCGACTGCATGCTGAGCGCCATGTCGGGCATGGTCTTTGCCGCGCCGTTGCTGGTGCCGTTGGCCGACGACGGCGTCTCGCCGGCAGTCTGCTGCGCGCGCCGAGAGCAAGGATTCATGGAGAAGTACAGCGCAAACGACTGCGGCGTGGGCAGCTCGGTGAACGCCTTCTTGAGGACCTTGGGCACGTTGGCGTCGTTGGAGACGTAGGCGTTTTCGGATATGTAGCGGTGGGCGGGCGGGTTGGAGGCGTCCTGGTCGACGTACTGCTGCGGGAGGGAGGTCGGGGTGGCGAAGACGGTGGCGAGGGGGCGGGAGGGGTGGGAGGAGTGGAGGGGGATGAGGGCTTCCGGGTTCGCGGAGAAGGAGACGAAGTTTGCCATGATTTGCGGGGTGGTTTGGCCTGGTGGTGTGAGGGCCAGGAGGACGATTTCGAGTTCTGGGGAGGCTTTTGGGGAGATCTGTTGTTGTGTTAGTGGTTGTTGCGTGAAATGTCAGGAGAGGATGAGGCGTAGACGGGTCAGAGAGGGCTTACCTTGATCACCCAGTTCAGAATCTCCTCGAAGCGGTCGAGGGAGTAAAAGTAGAGGGACTGGAACATGCCCGTCAGGGGGCGGGTGCGGAGGTGGAAGCGGGTGACGACGGCAGGGAAGCCTATTGTAAGTCGTTAGCCAAGTCTTCTTCTCTATCCCCCGATGAGTCGGGGAAGGCGAAGGGGTCGGCCGGAAGTCACGTACCCGGTCCGGCGCCGCGCGCGGCCCAAAAGAGGTCGGCGTTCTCCGTCTCGGAGCAGCGGAGCTCCCGTCCATCGGCCGTGACAACCTCAATGGCGACGATATTCTCACACGCCCAGCCCCAGTTCTGTCTTTTTGTCAGTTCCTCCCTTTTCAAGAATTCGACATCCCAGGCCGAACAAACTCACCTTGCAATTCCACCCCATACCACCCTGCAACAAAAACCCACCGAGCCCAACATCAGGACAATGACCACCAGGGAAAAACCTGCCCATCCCCTCAATACTATCATCCCCAGGCCCGCCAATCTGCCCAGCCAGAAACCCATTCACCTCCCTCCCCGTCCTCGCCGGCGCAACACTGACAATGCCCGTCTTGGAATCATACGCGATGCCATCCTCGTTGCCGCTGCCCGCAACACCTTTACCCATACTCCCCAAATCAATCAGCAGCGCCTCATCGCGAACAGACCACGCGGCCCACGAGTGCCCCCCCGAGCGAACGCTCACGCGCCACCCCTTTTCGTTTGCAATCTTGACGGCCTCGACGACGTGGGCTTTGCGCGTGGCGGTGACGACGGCGGCCGGGCGCCGGGAAAAGTCGCGGCGGGCGTTGAAGACGCGGCCCCAGACTGCGGTGGAGTATTCCGAGAAGGGGGTGTCTTCTGCGTAGAGGATTGGGAGCGGCGTGGCGGCCGGGGATGGGGAGGAAGATTGCTGTTGCTGCTCCGCCTGCATCTTTGCGAGTCGAGGGATTCTCATTGAGTCGACTTCTCGGGGGGGACGAGGCAGGATCTGCGGGTTGGGGGTGTTATAAGAGTCGTCTAGTAAGGTAGGTAGATCGCGGGGGAGCTGAATTCAGATAGGACCGGGTGTTTCCGTCCTGGGTGAAAGAATGATGGCGTCTTGCTCTAATTTCCGTCCCGTCTTGGTTCTCTTCGATCAAGATCTCTTTCTTTTGCTGGTTTCCCCTTAATGTTGCTCTACCAGTCAGGTAGGTATTGTTGCGGCTTGAAGCTTGTGATATTGAGACAACGGATCGGGCCTTGGTATTCCCGGGAAATCTGGAGCTGAACCCGGTTTCGCGGGCGCGGGTTGCCTGACAAAGACTCAAAGGGCCAAGTAAGAAGAAGGCGTCGAGTCTAGTATATGCAAGCTGAGCTTTGGCGGGCGTAGATATGTAGGCTTATGTAGGCTTAAAGGGAGGAAGCCGTAGTTTGTATCGTCTCCGGTCTCGATGGATTGATTTGAACTCGAACTGGAGCAGTAACGTAGGTAAATCAATCTTTCAGCTGAAGGAAACAGCGCGGCGCCTCAAAAGCCCTAAATACTGTCCGCCCTCTGCCCCTCTTATATGGCCTTTCCGAGAGCTGTTTGTTTATCTCGCTGTCCTAAGTCGAGGATTTCTGCGATTTCGCAAGCCCGCTGGCCCAGCTCTTTCACGTTTGTACGCTAGTCGTTATCAAATCAAACGAGGTGTTACGAGCAGCTTGGATAAGCCTGCCAGTCTGCGTAACACTCGCAGGCTTCGCACGCCTCGCTTGCGCTTGCTAGTAGGAATGGGGCCCTGTCTAGACCTGTGCCGACTGGAGCTCCCCAGCTGGGGGGGGTTTTTGGCACCGTGTCGGCGCGTCCTGACTCTCCCTATGTAATATGCGGCTGGTCCAGAATCCAGATTGAGGTAAAAGGGTTCGGCGGAATAGAGAAATGCGGTCTTGGGTTTGTTTGCTATCAAAGCAAGCTTAAGCCGGATAAGCTTCCGAAAAGGTCCCAAGGGGAATAGAACAGCAGAAGAGACCCCCCGAGAGAGAGAGATCTTCTCCCGCTAACAATCCTTTGGAATGCAAGAATCGAACGACAATTGCCTTTCGGTAGATGAGAAATGTGGATAACAAAAGAAGTACGAGGTCAAAGCAAAAGAGGATCCAATGCGATGTTTCCAACGGCTAGTTGTAGAAATTTCAACGGCAATTCCGTGTTAAATAAGAAAAACAGGACACAGCTTGTAGTTTCATCGCGTCTTGGAACGAAGTCACCTTACTCTCACTTATTCTCCACGGGATCAAGACAGAAGAGGGGAGTAAAGAGAGGCAGAAAATCCACCCATCCACCATCAGCTAATCCTCCACCCGGCGCTGCGCGACGACCCCTCCCTCCCCCACTGTCCCGCGCAATTTCTGTTCCCGTGATTGGGCAGATGCGATTCATGTCTCTGCAGCAGTTGGAGTGTTTCTGCGTCAAAAGAATGCCGTACCGTGTGGCATGCCAATGTTGTTGTGTGTTACAGTTGTTTTCTGTGCCGCCCGCCCGCCCGCATCCCGTGAAACCAAACAGCTTTGATGTACTCCGTGGACCGTAGGTATCCGTAGATCGGAAGGCGGGGAGACTGAGAAGAGACAGAAGGCAAGAGATCTGACGAATGATGGGGATCATGACACCAGGAAACAGCTTTACTCAGCGGCCAAAAGCAAAGCAAAGCAAACCTAGGTATCCCACCTCCACCCGGGCCCAGGCCGCTGACGAAAGCCTCCGTGGCCTCCGTGGCGCATCACCATATCCCAGGCCACCTCACCTCACATCACCTCATCACGACGAACCACAACCTCGGTCCGTTCTCAAGGAATGGTAAAGACAAGAAAGAAAGCCCACCAGAGGGAGAAAAAAGGGGGCCACAGCAATCTTCAACACTACGGATACTCACGGCGACTAACCAAGTCCAACCTTAGCCCCCTCCTCCACGAGCCGCGTCAACCATGGAAACCACTACTTCGTAGGCTAACTAGTATTGCTTAGCAGGGAGCCTAAGCCGGCCCGCGGGAGACCGGAGCAAGCACGCGGCACTACCCATTTCGCAGCTTTCGTAACACTGCCACCACGGCCACCTCGTGGCTTTGTCTAGACATGGTTAACTACCAAAGTTATGAATTCATGGCAGAGCCTGGGCCCTGAAATCTACGGGACCTGGATTGTGGAAAATCGGATCAGGAACCCGCACACTCTCGACTCACTTCGGGGGTTCCTGGTGCCCAGTCTAATTACCACGAGGAAGTACGGATAGCGCTTCCGCGGACCGTAAGTTCGTAAGCCATGGTGTGATGGCCGACGGCAACATCACCAGTCACGGCAACTCAATTTCCAAGACAAAAAGTTACAGCGCCGGCGATGGAGACCCTCGGGCTCGGGAAAAGTTGGGAACTGGCAAATTTGGGCTTGCAAGAGGAAAAAGGGGGTATCGTCCATTGCTACCTCGTCCCGTCACACGCAAATTCCTCCAAACAATTACACACATACACTCACTCAACCGCATGCCAAACTATTCTGACACGCTACACAGCACAGCAGCAGCAGCACCTACAGCACGACAACAGTCGGCTGTCTCTCCCCATTCTCTCTATCCATCTCCTGCAGATCAATTTGAGTATCAGTACGCAAAACAAGCACTTCTTTTCCCTTTCCGTTGCCAGCGCGTCTGTAGTCGAGCAAGTGCAATGCTTTTTTGCCCTTTCAACTAGACGCGCCAAACAATGTAAAAACCCCCGTGCTGTGTATTAAA